CTTGCCTTTGGTTTTGGTACACTTTTTGGCGTGTTCAGCGCACAGGCTGACAAAAGTCGCTGACATTTTAGCCAACTGAAACATCCTTGCAGTTATGCAAATCACACAAACACACACGCTCTTACACACACACACACAGAGACACTACGACTGCCATTTGCACGTCCAAGCTTCCTTCCGCATTCTGCTGTTGCTCCTGCTTGCCCCATGCCCCATGCCTCTTTTTCCACCCATCAACGTCAACGTCATCGTCGTTGTTTTTGTTGTTGCGGTGGTAAAATTTAAGTGGCCACTTGACTAAATTAATATGACACTGCAGCAAGTGCTGCTCAGCACTTGTCTTTGCTTAACCCATCGCCCTCCACCCCTGCAGCACTCCTTATCGTCTTTTGGCTAACAATATGAATAATTATGACGTCAAACTGTCAGTTGATTTGCATGCTCCTTAATTCAGCTTTGTGGTGAGTGGCCAAAGACTTTCAAACTTGCTGTCAATAAGCAAAAGTCCACAATTCTGTGCAAAATTGAAACATTGACAGTCGTTTAAATATTTTCAAAGTGTTTAGAATATCTAATTTGCGGAAGTGTGTCTTTTGCTCAAGATGTGTGTTTAAATAAATTGGCCACAATTGAAACAATTATGTTGCTTGGGTCAGTTAAGTGATTTAGATAATTTGACATATGCCCAAAAATTTTGATAGCACTTTGAGCAATATGAGTCTTTTATTTTAGTTAGCCAAGTAAATAAATTCGAATGACTATTTAAATGGATAAATGTTTGTAAAAGTCAAAACGAAACCGTATATTCTTTCTAAACACGTCTGCTCACTTTTCTGCTTTTTTTTCAAGTCGGTGATCACACAATGATATCGGTCGATATCGATATCGATATCAATGTTATGTACAGCTGTTAAATTACAGTGTTATTACTAGGTCACTAGTAGCCTGTTACCTTGATCACAAGTGTCCTTCTACATGTTGTTTATCCAATACAATAAAAATAATCCTGGTCTCTGTTAACATTTCAATTGGCAAACCTTTCCCAATGTTAATAAGTCAATTTGTATCCTAAAAAGTAAGCCCATACATTTGCATTAATATACAAATCTGTGTTTCTCAAAGTGTGCAAGGGCATACCACTATTTCATGTGCTAATGGCTGCTAGTTAACGTTCACGACAGCTTTGTTGGCAGGCCCATAAGCGGGAATGTCACTACTAAAAATCCCAACTGTTTGCAGCTTGTCTCCCAGTTTTTTCTTTTTTTTTTGCTTTTGTTTTTCTTTTTATTTCTATTTCTATTTTTTTTTTCTTTTTTCGTTTTTCGCTCGTTTTTGCTGCAGCACATGTCACACTTGGCTCGCAGTTTTGTGGCCAGGCCAGGGCTATGAAAATAACCATAAGGCAATTGCCCAGGCGGTTTCCAGCCTCCGTCAGAGCGACGGCCTCTCCCCCGCCCCCACTATAGCTGTTGCTGTTGCTGCTGCTGCTGGTGGTCTCCCCAGGCTCTACGCCCAGTGTTTCAGTGTTTGTGGCACTCATAAGCCTTGAATGCTAAATGTCAAAGTTACTCCTTGGCGTAACATTCGACACATTGGGGCGTGTTGAGGTGTGTGTGCCTACGCGTGTGTGTGTGTAATATGTGTGTTTGTGTGTGTGTGTGTGTGTGTGTGTGTGTGTGTAATGGATGCCTGCCTACCTGATGCCCATCTCCTGCCTGGTGCCTCATCATCTCGTCTGCCAGCCTGTTAGCCAGCCTGCCTGGTTGCCTTTGGATTACATTACACTAAGTTCTGTGCAAACACAGTTGGCGCAGTTCATTAACATGTTACATGGACACGGACAACCAGGCAGGAGTCATGTATAGTCAGAAGTGGAGGATTCAGAGTTGGAGTCGAGTTTAGTTCGAAGCGACTCCGCTCTACTTTAGACGAGCCTCTTTGGGGTTTGTTTGTTTGTGCAAATGTATGCGTAAGCACAATATGCATGTAAGTCTCTATCTCTCTCTATCCCCCTCTCTCTCTCTCTCTGGTTTTCTCTTATTCTCTCTCTTCGTCTTACTCGATGTGTGTGGGTGTGTGTGCGTGGAATGTATGCTTTATGCCTTTTAATACGCGCCCAACGCCCACTGAAACGCTCGACGCTGATGCGGAAGTGTTGCCCGGGCGCCCACTTCAAACAACTAGAGCGACTCAAAGCTCAAAGCTTTAGATATAGCCACCATATGAATATGAAAACGAATGTATATATGAATACACTTGGATGCTTAAGAGCATGTCTGTGTGTGTGTGTGTGTGTAAGAGTGTGTGTGTGTGTGTGTGGCCTAAGCTGCGCATTAAATGTAAAATATAAATTATTAACAGTGTACTGAGACACTGAAAACGAGGCTGACGAACAAAAGCAAAAACAAAACCTCTCTGCGGTTAGCAGCTCTCTCGTTAAAATTGCCACCACGCCCCTTGCCACCACCACCTTCCCGACCCTCCCTGCATCTAGCCACTCCCCACGCTGCAGTGCAGTCTTCTCTAATTAGGCGCACTGTAAGTGCAGTCGTGTGGCTAATCAATGGGGACATAGTCGTGGAACAGTAAGGGGGAGGGAGGTTGGAATCGGGGGGGTGGGGGTGGCAACCGATCTCCAGTTAATTTACAGTTTTAATGCGTTTTCGACTTGTGGGCCAGTGTGCAGGGCAAAAGTAGTTTCCGAGTCATGCTAAACAAGTCAGACACAAATGGCAAACAAACAAGCGAATAAGCACAATAAAGAGACAGAGGGATGTTGATGGGCAGACTGACAGAAGCACGGACGGACGGACGGACGGGCGGGCAGCACGGACAGATGGGCATTGGCAACAAGCGGAGGCTAATTCATTTGTTGGCTTCCGTGCACAAAACCAGCAGCCGTTGCATACTTTGCGGCGCAAACAAAAACCGAGGCACCGAAGGCAGTCACACAGTCACAATCACAGTCACAGTTGCAGTCACAGTTGCAGTCGCAGTCAGCATCCACCATTCGTATGTGGAGCTCCGCACGTCAATGAGCTCTTCTACCCTCCACTCCTCACCAAAACAAAACCAAAAAAAAAAATACAACAAAACAAAACCAAAAAAACAGCATTTATACACACATACATGTACATATATAGCAGACTCAGTTGTAGCCCATTCCCAGGACTATTTTGGCGTAGTTGTTGAGGTTTGGTCAGAGGCATAGCGGCAGACTGAGCAATTCGTTTTAATGAATCCATCCACATGCAGACGATGGCGAGTCGAGGCCAGGCCAAGCCGTGCCGGGCACAGAGCCTCGTCAGAGGAGCAACTGATTGTATCAACTTCCTAAGTGGATTTTGCAGTCCAACTGGCATTAAGCCTCTTGGCCGCAGGTAATTTCGTATGAATGAAAAGCAAAAGTCTCTGCTACGGCCGCCTGTGTTGTGGCAGCCGGCCACCCTGCCATTCTTTTTTCTTTGTCTCTTCCGTCACACTCTACGTCCACATTCTTGCTGGATGCTGAGGCACAGTTGTGCCGTATGAGTTCCATATTTTTGGCCTATGCATATGAGCAGCTTTCATTTGCCAGGTTTTCGGCTGCCTGACGTTGTCTTTCAATAAACATTGATTCACCCAACCTCCACACAAGGCTCCTCTTGCGGCAGGAGCAAGTTATGGTTTCAGTTTGACTGCCCAGCTTTTGTTTTGCTATTCTTGCAGCTTCAACAGAAATTATCTCTTCCTCTCTCCCTCTCTCTCTCTCTATCTGTATTTATCCCTCCACTGCGCTTGCCTGTCTGTTTCCCAACGCACTCTTTGCGGCTTTTCACACTCATGCATTTTTAAGCGACATTTTGCAGTTTTCAGTTACTAACACCGAGTTCCGGACCAAGACTGCTGCGTTGCATTTCGGTCTATTTTCAGCAAGTGGAAATATTTCTGAATGCAATTTTTATGATTAGATTTGGGAGTTGCATTGCCAAGTGGCATGGGAAAGCAAATTTGAGCTGCATTCAAAATGAGTAGCACTGAGATATTTGGCAGGCTAAAATCTCATTGGTACCTGTTATATGTAATGAAAATTATTGACATTTCTTGTGTCATCTTCGTATGTTGGTCGCTGGAAATACCTTTGGGGCGATGCTTTAAATTTGAATTTGATTAATCAATTCGATATCTGTATACTTTTTAAGATTATAGTTACCGATTATTTCCTTTATTTACAGTGTATTTAGGGTATTTACCAAGCTTTAACGTGACGTGAATCGCATTCTTTAGAAATAACCAGTTACAGCTTAACAATACTTGCGCCAACTTTCAGAGCAGGTTTTTACACAAAAACTGAATTTCAATTAGTTGTTGCGAAATATAGTTGCCCGGGTATTGCGCATACAAAAATAGTTGTAATTAGTACAATTTGCATCACCTTAGCAGCAGCTGGCTGGGCTAATGGAAGCTGGCTATTAGTTTATGAATTACATAAACCTTTTCCTGCAGCTTCCTCAAATTTAAAAACGCATTTAGAGACCAACACAGAGAGAGAGAGGAGAGAGAGGTAGAGAGAGAGAGAGAGAGGGAGAGAGAGAGAGAGAGAGAGAGAGAGAGGGAGACAGAGAGAGAAAGAGAGAGAGAATAGTTTTTTTCACTTTTCTGTTTTTATGCATAACGTTAAACAGCTTTAGACACTCAACTGGGTGGTTTTTATGAGCGCATTTTAACTCACTCTAAATATGTACTTATCTTCCTCTTTCTATCTCGTTGCAGCTTTCTGGTGCACGGTAACAGCAACGGCAGCGGCAACGGCAACGGGAACGGCAACGACAAACTGCAAAACTAATTTATGGCATTAAAAATGCATATTTTCTAGCAGTGCGTTGCCAGTTTTTATCATTTGCCAAGTGCAAAAGGCGTGCGCCAAGCAGCAGCAGCAGCAGCAGCAGCCGAAAGCTGTGCGTCTGTGTGTGTGTGTGTATGTGTGTGCGAGTGTGTGATTGTGTGACTGAGTGTGTGCGATTGTGTGTGTGACTTCGCCTATATGATTTTTATTTTTTTTTTGAGAAAGAAGTTTATGCGATCTGCGCGCAGCTCATGCAACTAAAATTGGATTCGACTGGCACAAAGCAGCATTCGGGGGGCAACTGAGCCTGAACATTTCTTCTACCGGCCCGCTGCTTTAGCTGCTTTCTCGCAACGCTATCGTTAACGTCCTCTTTCCACCCGCCCGTCTCTCGCATCGTCATCATCGTCAGGAACAGCAGCAGCAGCAGCAGCAGAAGCAGAAGCAGCAGCAGAACCAACGCATGATAATTCACTGCTTTGGCCCTGGACTGGCAACGAAATGGCTTTTCCATACATAAAAGTAAGTACAGATTATTCCTGTAAAATAAATACTCGTGAAAGTTTTCAGAAAGAAAGTCAAAAGTTATTACTCAACATGTGGGTGATTGGATCTGATTGGGTCTTGGATCAAGCGTTTAACTATTAAGTTTCCCATTACTTTAGCGATTCAAAATGCCGGTTGCTTAAAGTATTTCCTAAATTTAAGACAAAAAAGTGATATACTTTCACTACTCATATTCATAAGAATTGGTTTCTTTCGCCTCATAACACTCCTGATTGATTTCCCATTAAAAGAGTAGCTCTTAAGCGAGTATTATCAATTTGATTCTTTTTAATAAACTGCAAGAGTCATATAAGTGCAGAAATTCATTTTAACTTTATACGATGTGCTTATGAGAAAAGTTATACTCGTTCATGTTTTCATTTTATCGTCAAACGTGTCGTTTGCGTGATATATATATATATATTTATATATATAAATCTATATATGTGCATTTGTGTCTCTCGGTGCCGTTGACAGCCTTGACAAGCAAGCACTCGTGTAATTTTAATAATGTGCTAAATGTCCGCTCGTTCTCTCTGATGCCCTGACGCAAAGTGCCAGAGATGAAGCACTGAAGCGATGGCTTCAATATGTTTTGATTGGAATGCACGAGGGCTGCTGCAATGTTGACCATGTTCAGGCGAAAGCATAATATTAATCATATGCCGCAAGTGCTGCAACTTAACGAATGCGATTTTAAAAATACGGATTTATATGCTATATGCTTTAAGGACGTGTGTTGACAAAAACGGCGCTGATAATACGTGTCAACTTTGGCCCGAATGAGAGAGCAAAATAAAATCAACCAAGAGGACAGCTGTAAGAATGTGTGTATGAGTATGAGTGTGTGTATTAAGAGCTGTCCGTACAGCATAGAGTGGAGAACGACAGGACAGCAACACAATTGCCTGCTAGAGCTGCACCAGCAGAGCCAAAACCAATAGGTTGACAATGATGGCTTCGATGTCGAAAAGCAATTCACTTTTGACCAGCACCAAGCAAGCTTTCATCTTCAAAGTTGTCCTGTCTGGTCAGTTTCTCTCTTCCCCTTCCCCTTCCTCTGTGTATCCCTCACTCTGTGTGTGTGTGTGTGTGTTTTGAGTGTTGATTGTCAAGTGTTGCACACAGACACGTGCTTATATTTGCTGACTGCTTTAGCGTCCTTGCTGCTGCATGCAGTCCATGTTTGTTTGAGCCAACGAATTGAACTGTAAACTGTGTATTAAATTTTATACAGCGTGCGTTTTCTGGCTTAAGCATACGCAATAATAAAGGACTTTGCGGTTTGTGCCCCACCCACACATACTATATGTATGGGAACAGAACAGAACAGCAACAGAACAGCAACAATGGCACATTCAAGTGCATTTGAGCGGCAATCATTTTTGTGGTTAACAAATACAAAAGCCTATTAATGAACCCACAGACAACAACAATAACTAATAGAGCTGTGGTTGCACTCAGGTGTACTGGCCTGCAGATATGTTGTTGTGCGGTTGGCTGTGTGCGGGTTTTGTTTCATTTAATCAACGGTGTTTAGTTGGCAAACGCTCAAGACAAAAGCCTTATGAGCTCAACGCATTCATGCAATTCATTTTCAAGCAACAACAACAACAATTCACATTGATACATAATGCTACAAATGTAAATCCTGTGCCAGGACAATACAAACTATTTAAACTTCAACAAAATGCAAACTTACGATTGTGTGTGTGCGGGTTGGCATTGGGTGATTGTTAGTTAATTGAATTTTAAATTATTCCTATCTCCAAAAAATAGTTAGTTGCACTCATGAATAAATCACTATTCAATTTTACTTGCTAATTTGACTGGAGACTGCCAGCGAATAGGAATTGCGCAGACAGGCAGTTAGAGAGAGAGAGAGAGAGGAGAGAGAGAGAGAGAGAGAGAGAGAGAGAGAGAGAGAGGCGTACAGCGAGAGCGAAAGCGAAAGCGAAAGAGGGAAGTGAATTGTGTTAGCGCATTGCTCAAGTTTTCAGACAAATCAAAAATTAAGCTAATAAAATGAACTGTCAGCAACTGCAGGAGTCAAACAATGCCTTGGCCAAAGTTAAGAAACTCGGAGAATCTATTCATTGCAATTTGTAGAGTAGTTTAGCATCATATTTATGCCACGGCTGAATTCTGCTGAATGCTTGCCAGGAATTTCGTAAACTGGAAAATAGCTAAAATGGCAACGGCGACGAAGATAGCAACACTATAATCTATCCAATAACTAGTCGCAGTTAATGGAATATAAAATATGAAAGTATTTATAGCATATTGACATTTTTTAAGTTAAGCGCTTCTCTATATTATTTGTTGTATTTTTCAATGTTGTTGCTGAATGTTGGCTATTGAAATTCCACATTGCAAGGGTGAGCTATAATAGCATTCAGTCCTGCGTAGCATGTCGATATTGAGTAGAGTCAGGCACGGGTCAATATACGCACACACACAATCAATCATAAATCTAATATAAATAATAGCAATAAGCACATTGCAATGCCTAAAACTATGCAATGAAATATGCGCACCAGTCAACACAAGCACTCTGACCGCCACACACACACACATACACACACACACATTGATTGCATAACATCCAATTATTAAAAACTAACAAAAGGGGCAAACGAGGGGCTCCAGCTGCTGCCTGTTTGAGGCCACTTTTCATAACTGCCAAGGCAGACGGCGCATACCGAGGACTTTTGTCAATGGCCAAACCTCAAAGTCAGTGAAGCTATGCTTATACACACACACTCACACACACACACACACACACACACACACACACACTCACACACATACATGCATGCTCATAAATGACTTACTGCTCAATGCAGTCACACACATACACGTGCAAACACACTTACTTGCTGCTTGCGTCATCAGCGTCAGCATCGTCAGAGTTTTGAAGCTGTTTCTGCTGTTGAGGCCTTGGCATGCAGTCAAAACGCAGCTCTGCCATTTTCCACAACTATTTTCTATGTCAGCCAACCAGTGTGTAAGATGACATATAGAGTAGAGCAGGGTATCAGGGCATGAATGGGGGCGAGGCGGGGGGATGGGTGATTAGACAGAGAGCGAGAGATAGATGGTCCAGTCAAGCATGCAAATGGATGCAACTGGCCAGACTGAGGCAGCACACAGGCCATTGAATGTCTGACATCAACTTGCTGCTGCCTCTGCTTCGGCTTCTGCTTCTGCAAAACAAACAAAAAACTTAACCTCAGCACAAATTTAAGCAAATATTTGTATGCCACATGTGGAGATTGAGGCAACTCTTCACGTCCACTATGTGACAGTCTTGCTCGGTCGGAAACTTGACTCCTATTTGGCCTGCATGGCTCATTCGTCTTGTGTCTCCTTGGGCGGCTGTAGTCCATTGCTGTTGCAATTGAAGCCGGAAGCACTTTGCAGTGTCAGCAAAGAACTTAACCAGGTGACTGCATTCTGCCATCCCGCCATCCCACTCCGCTACTTTTTGCGGCTGTGGACCACAATTGTGGGTGGAGGCGACATGTTGATGCATGCATGATTTTAATCTGTTAAATGCGAAAATGCATAAATGGCATTGGAGAGTTTTCATCCATTGATGGCAATGACTGCAGCTAATGACGCGCAAAATGTTTACAAATCATTTTGTCAATAACGACAACTGCCAAGGGATATATGTACGTATGTGTGGATGGATGTATGTATGTAAGTACATATGTATGTATGTTACATACACGCCAGATCCTTCCATAATTTGCCCACATTTCTTACATTCATCGACACACGGCCATGAAAAGGTCATTAGTGTGCGTCAGTGTGCGTGTATATGTGGGACTGTGGCACAAATGGCCATTCAATATGCCATAGAACGACTCACACACGCACACTCGCACACACACACACACACACACACACACACACACACACACATAGATATATGATGCTTATAGCCAAAGCCAGCAGCCATAACAGCCACATGCTTTTTTCCACAACATTAACGCAAATTGCAAGTAATAAAAATTCAAAATACCGAACCGTACAGAAAGCTGCACGTGTTGCTGTTGCCCGTGTTGTGTGTGTGTGTGTGTGTGGTTGTGTGTGTGCTGGCTCAAGTGATGGCCTACAGAATCCATAGCAAACCACAACAAGAAGCTGACTACGAGCACATTTATCGCAGCCACCGAGGCATTTTTTAAGCCCACCTACAACTCATGTGTTGTGCCAAAAATATAAAAAATAAATGCAAATTTTGCTCTATGGAGAAAGGGCATGCTAAAGTTCTGATGTGATTGGATATGGCAAACTTATAAAGAAATTATACGTTTTTTGATATATGCATAATTGCTCAAAACATCCATTTTTCACCAGACTTGGCTCTAGTTTATGGATAATACAAATAGTTTAAATCGAATAATACTCTTAAATATAAATAGTTGTATGGCTCGTGTTTCCCAGTTTAGTGATTTTTAAGATTTAAGTTTCAAATTAATGATGCTCTATTCAATTCTGCAACTAGCTCGTTCTTGAAATGTAACAAAGTATAACCTTAACTTGTTCAAAAAAAGAAGAGTATTTCCATAAAATGATATCGCCAATAGCAAATGCCCTTATTTTTAGGGCATTGAAGCTGCGTCTTGCAATATTTTCTTTCGCTTACAAAATTTTTGCTTGTGTTGCTGCTCAAGCGAATCAAAATGGAATCTATTTTATGCAAAGGCACGCAACGTACCCCAGACCCAGACCCAGACCTAGACGCAGGGGTAAGCCAAACGTAAGATGGAGTCGCATATGCGGCTGCCTGCTTCGCTGCGCCCGTTGCTTTCAATCCTTTACCGTTACCGTGTGCTAAGTGTAGTTGTGTGTGTGTGCGTGTGTGTATGTTTGCCCAGCCAGTGGTTGGCGGACTAAAAGCTTTGCCTATGCACTCATGCATGCGTGCCGTGCAGATGCCACTGCCACTGCCACTGCCACTACCTCTTGGACTAGCCGCACAATTTATGTATGTGCGAAATATGGCGCCACAACACATTTTTACCTCTGGGCGTCTTTTGTGTGTTTTTGTGGCACAAATATTGAAATGTTTGCCGTGTAACGCATTTAACGCATGCTTGAAATCTTTTACAGCTGGCCACAGTAATGAAATGGCGACCAATGGTGATATATCGATGATCTCGCCGCCAACGTCTTCCATTTCAAACGATCAAGATCCGTTTGGACAGCTGCCACCGCTACCACCGCCGTTGCGTTCCACCCAAGTGCTTCAGCCATTGAGCGTATTTCCAGGTGCACAAAGAACCAAACTCTATTCAAGCTCTATTTTTCTCTTTGATTGTTCGTTGTTTGTTTGCTCGAGCTCTTATATTCGTTCTCATTTTATTTAATTTTTTTTGTTGGTTTTTTGTATGTTTTATCTATAGCTTTTATTCGGCTGCACATTTTGCAAATATAAAAAAAAAACATGAGAAAAACCATTTGCTTTTTGAAGTATTTTATTGCCACTTGAATTGATGTGTAGATTGGAATTTTGATTTGTTTGCTAACATAATTGCCGCTGTATTTTATATTCGTATCTGTACATTTTCATTTGGACTCCATCACTGAAATACCTGCCATAGCACACGAGACTACACGTTTTGTTTTTTATACATACACACACACACACACTCACACTCACACATAGCTATACCGCTGTGCGTTACAGTTACACACATTTTTGTGAACTTTGTTTAGCATTTTTCAGCTGCGCCAGCCGCACTCATTCAGACAATCAATCAATCAATCAATCGAATTCCCTTCCAAATGCAAAAAAAAAAAAAAAAAAAGTCCACCAACAGTCGTCCATTAATTAAATGTCGCTCTCTCTCTGCCCTCTATCTGTGCTTGCTCTTTGTATTTGCAACTTTTTGACTACGAAAAAACAAAAAACAATTTTTATTTGTAAAACCCTTAAAAACAGAACTTTTTCAAGTAGCTGTGCTCTGTGTTGATGCTGCCATGTGTTTTCTTTTTTTCAAAATGTAATTTTGTTTAGAACATTGTAGTCGGACATAACCGACTGTGTAATACTTTGATGCCAACGGGAATATTCTTGACTCGACATTTAGAGAAGGTTGTCAGTAATCAAACAAATTTTGAGACTATGCGGAAGAAATGTGAACTGTGTATATCAAACATATATCTGATTTCCGAAATAAATACTGTAGCAGTCAATACTAAATTGCATATCTTCCACAAAAATGTCTACCTTTCTGTACTTTATTCACAACGATTCTTCAAGTTGGTGTTCACACAATTGATATCGATCTATGTATATCGATATTAATGTTATGTACAGATGTTATCTTACAGTCTGACTACTACGCCACTAGTAGCCTGTTACCTATATTACGACTGGATTGCTACAACACTCTATTCAGAATTTTGTAAACATGACTTTACTGAATGTGGACGGAGAGACTGAGACAGCCAGACATACCTAAAACAAAAATGCTTAGCTAACGTCGGTATCAGAGTATAATAAACAAATAAAAAACGTATTTCGCAGCTGCTTTGTAAACATTTTTTAAACGTTTTGGCAGCCGTTGCTCATTCCACTTCACTTACTACCTTTGTGCTGTCCCATAACTGTCAAATAAATAAAACCGAAAACAAATCGAAAGTAACAATTTGCTAACAAACTACAACAATTTTGTGCTCTCTTCTTTCATTTATATACGACGGACAATAACAACCAAATGAAAATGCTAATCAATCTTGACAAATTATTTACAAATTACATATATTGAATAATATGCCCTTATGTGTTCATTTTAATGTAGAGTGAGTATAAAACTACAACAAGAACCGAGTAGGACCTACAATTGCTTATTTTTATAATATAATACTTATTATTTTTCTATATATATTTTATAATACTATATGTTGTCGAAATATTTGTTGCTTTCAAATTAATGCGCAATATTCCGGCGCACTGCTATTGCTTTATACATATTTTTATAAATACGTGCATAAATGTATGCATATTTTGTTTTTTTTTTTTCTTGAGTGATTTTTTCTGATTTAAGTTTTTGTTTGGGTTTTGAACCAGTGTTAAGCGTAATCGTTAAACGGTTTTGTTTCAAACATAATGCCTTATGAGCCTGCTCGTTATTCTTCTTGTCGTGTATGCCATGTTCAGTGTCCAATTTGAGCGAAGATTCTTACGATTATGTTTTTGGTGGTCGACGTAAGACTCCGCCCACAACAACGTCAACACAACTCAAGCTGACCTCGCCGCCAGTACGCCTGCGACCCGAAGGTTCGTATCCTATCCTATCCATCTATCAATTAGAATCTAACCTAATCTATACTACACAAACTACTCAATTGCCATCAACAGACGCCTATCGAGGTGAGAATATAAACAACGGCCGTTTCTATCGTCATTCCTTCAGCTATGCCCCGAAGCGTCAACGCCACTCGAGCCGTGATGATCGTGACCGCGAGTCTAGATTGAGATGTCATGGCGAGGATGAGGCAACACTGCGCCAATTGCTGCTCGAGTATGTAGAATGGCAATCAACCAAGTCTTTTCTTCTTCTTTTTCTTCTTCTTCTGCTTCTGTTTTATTTAACATGCAAATGAAATGAACACGTAATGAACATGCAACAGTGGCAGTTACTGCAAAGCTGCCACTGCAACAGCCGCAACAACACTTTTTTTTGCGTGTTGCCCCCATTATGCGTCATTCAATTTGCAAGCCACAAAATGTCCGCTATAAAGTATTAGCATTTAACTCGACAAATAAACAGCAATTATTTTGCAAAACACATACTTAATTTGCTACACAATGAAAACTCGTAGTTTTTAATTTATACATTCAATAGCACGCACAAATAATTCGATTTTAATTTATGTACTTGACTATTCTCGCTTTAGGGCCAATGCTTAAATTACCAAATCACCAAACCAGCAACATTTTTGTGACTTTGTTTTGTCCTCTAATTGATAGTGCAAACAACGTTATTTAAACAGATTCCGCTTTAGAGCTACTGTTTTCCGTTTCATCCTTTCTTTTTATGGTTTTTGGCAATATTTATGTGCAAATATTTAACAATTTTACTCCCCCCACACAGATTTGCGCAAATTATGTTCATTTAAGTGTCCAGCGCGAGTCCTTAAAATGTCAATTATTCATTGAGGGCATTTGTGTTGTGTTGTTTTTGTTGCGCAACTTCCACACAAAAGAATCACAAAATAATGTATATAAAATACAACATCAACCCCAAATATTAACAACAACAACAACAACGAGCACATGCGACATTCACCAAAAGTCGGGTTAAGAAATTTGCTGAAAAAAAACAAGAAAACAAAACAAAAAATGCCACAACAAAGCAAACAAAAGACAAACATGAAAATATATTAATTAAGCCAAACGTTTTTTGACGCATAACATACAAAAAAAAAAAAAAAAAACAAGAAAAGATTAAAGAGTGAAAAAGAGAAAGAGAAATTGTAAATCAGATAAACGGCGGAGTGTGAACACAAAAAAGAGCCGACAGAATGATGGGCACAATGCCACCCAGGTACATATACAAAGCATTCCAAACTATTAAAATTAATTTTAATAATAATAACAAAGCATAGTAATAATTAACAGCTCGAACATTACGCATACGCCATGTATTCATTATTTTGTTGTATAATATGTTTATTTTTCACCGTGCAAATATTTTAAATTAATGCAAACATTTTACATAAACGCTCTCCATTGTTGCTTCAGCCTTTTTTCCATTCAATTATATTTAAGTGTGTGCGTGTGTGTATGTGTGTGTGTGTGTGTGTCCATGTGTTGTACGTTGGTGTATGTGTGTTATCTTCTTGCCAAAGGCTAGGCGTTTTTAATTTGTATAAGTTTAATTAAAAATGGTTAATTAGCGTTCGTTTTATTCGTTTTGTTGCTTTGACATGCGCTGTATAAAATTATCACATTGATTTCATAATGCAAATTCATGAATTGACAAAAAAATGCTCACATTATCATGTATCAGTGCATCAAATTCAATCAATTGAGCATAAAAATGTAAAAATGTACATATGTAAATGTGAGCCACATCTCATTAAATTAAATGAAATATCAATTAATTTTGTTTTGATTTATTGCCAGCACCAAGTCGTTTGCTTTAACCAAAATACACCATTTCAAGTTTCTAAATATTAGATCGAAAATCCAGTCATTGAGAAACATTGAACCATGGAACTGTTTAACACACAATTTCAATTGCAATACATTTCAACTAAGTATGTTCTTGTCATCTACTCCCTTCCACCCCTGCCCACAACAACAACAACAACAACAATCACAACTGCCTTCACCATCACTACTACGACTACAACTACAACTACAACAACAACAACAACTAACTATAGAAGCCAAACCCAAAGCGGTCTGGTATTTACGCCACTCAATGAGTATGCAATTTCCATATGCTACTACTACAAACAAACTATTTAATATCAATACATAAATACTTTTAAACATATCTAACCACATACTATATATACTATCAGCAACTCTTTTAACCTTATACCACTTTGCACTTGCATATATGGCACTTCATAGACCATCAAATTGATTTGTTAATTATTTCAAATATTTTGCGCAAATACCAAATTACAAAAACTCCTGCTACCGAAAATTGCATGTCAGACAATTAAATTTCAATTAATATGTCTAAAATTAATTTAGTAATTTCATTGTAATTATTGCGGCTGCAGTCAGTCACATAATGGCAATAGTTGAAAGTATGTGGTGCGGTGGCTCAGTGGTTTGGCGACACACACTGCACCATATACTTGATGCGTTCTGTAGGACACTTGAGAGCAGCCACAACAATCTATGAACTGAATCCTATGCTGCTCTTATAGGGTGACAGTCTGTTTGTTTGTGTGTGTGTGTGTGTGTGTGTGTGTGTGTGTGTGTAATGTTCTTTATGACATGCCGAAAAGTGTTCGAGTACCATTAAGTCGCTATACACACTTCAAAGCACACACACACACACACACACACACAAACATTTGCACTTCCACAGTTACTCCCATTCAGTCATCAACAACAACAGCAAAATTATCGTCCAGTCGGAATCAATCAGCATTGGGCACTTAGCTTAACTCATTCAGTTATCGAACCTCACTTTGCATGCAATCAAAGCTATAGTTAGTTCATACCAGTCACAAAATCAACCCATCACCCAGTAGAGTCGAGAGTTAACTTCATCCATCTGTTAATCTAGTAAGCCTGTCAAAAGTCACACAATATTTTCAGGCCTATCACCTTTTATTTGGTTTTTGTGTACCATTTTTAGCTAATTTTAGATATTTTTTAATTTCACCAAAAACTGTTTAACTAATTGGCGGAATGGTCCTATCACCAAAAGACCCAAGAAAAAAATACAAACAACTAAAACCACATGAAAACGAAAAACTCGTACTTATAACTGAGAGTCTGTTGCTATTAGTTGGTTTATTTGTCACTTCATTGCAAATGCCATTTATAAATTGATGCATCATATTTTGTATCTCATGTATTGTCTCATTTTTACGATTTGCTTGGCATACGAAACAAAACAAAAAAATAATTAGCATAAAATAAACAAATCAAATTTTCAAACTAGTACAAATAAATGTTTATTCATGCAAACCATCCAAAAACCAAATAGACAAAAAGTAATCAAAAAAGACAAAAATATAAATAAAACTGAAAAGTAACAAATTCAACGTGAACTCAAGTAAAATAAAAATTCAAATTTATAAGGCCATTAACCGAAAACTGCCGCAAAAACAAATAATATGTATAAATATAATAATAATATCAAATTGCGTACATTTGGTGAATGTCCCATATGCCAATTGGTTTTAACAACTTTAATCTAATCTGTACAAATATATATTATACTTATTGAGAAACATATTTAATTACTACAATTTTTGTTGATTTTTTTTTAATCTTGAAAATATTGTGTTGTAAGTGGCCAGCCTGATTTCCAATAAGACTTTGAATTAAATATGCCATCAAAAGTAATACTCTTGCTGCTGAAATGTACAGTTACTTATGTGGCACTGCGTTTTTCCAGCGAGTTTTTGTCTCCTTAATCCCCCTTGAATTACAGTTGCCATGTTGCTGATATTAAGTGGCATTTTAACCGCCATCGCCTCCCGCCGGAAAACCTTGTTAAAATGCACAAAATACTCAAATATATAATAATATTTTATACATGCAGGCCCAGTCCTGACAAAGGACAACACAGTGAAAAGCGTCAGGCGCATATACGCGACATCATTTAATGTATACAAAAGGTAGCAGTCGCAAGAGCTGTTGCAAGAGCAGCAGTCGCAGCTGAGAAAGCAAGTAGCTGCGTATTGTGCTGACTGAAATTGGCAAAAATTGTATTAAATGCTCACGTATACAAATCCGTTACACATAACCAAAAATTTCTGCAACTGACAGAAGTACACACACACACACACAGAACACACAGCAGAACAGAATACACGATTGTACATGGGTTATGCGAATACGGCAGCAAATTCCGAGATTCAGTTATAGCCGTTGTGAGATATAGGATAGTGATATGCATGCCAATACATATGCACAAACAACAATTGTTTTCATGGAGAACAATAACTTACACAGGATGCGGCTCGTTCTGGTCCTAGATTCTGCTGCTCGTTGCTGCTTGTTGATGCTTGCTGGTTGCTGGTTGCTGGTTGCTGCTCTGCTGCAGCTCGTTGCTGATGTATGCATAAAATAATCCTTTTATGCTCAGCACAACAATGTCCGTGAAATGCAAAACAATAACAATAATAACAAGAGCAACAACAACAACAATAACAATAACAACATGTTGCGAATAACTCTCGCTGGCTGCCTGCTACATAGGCGTATTAACATAATGCGCAGCCAACTCAAGTGCATGACATTGCAAGAGGCGGGTACGCAGGGGGGCGGTGGGAGGCAACAGGGGCAGGGTCCTGCGTGCGTTCTACATGTCGCATAAATATGGGGCATTGTGTGCGTCAGTTGTCGCCTATAACTTTTGTCTTGTTTTGTTTGTTGTTGCTGTTTGATTTTGGGCGCCACTCGCGCGTTTTGTTTGCTCAACCAACAAAAAGCACTTCTCACTTTCAGTCATAGATACTATATGTTCTATGTACATATAGTGCTTTTGGCAAGCAAGCTTTACACCCAACTCTCACTGCCCCCAATGTCCTGCCAAGGCAAATGTAAACACACACACACAAACACACACACACACTCCCACACACACACATGCACACACGTAGAACGTGGGCGTTTATTTGTTTGGACGCCGCTGCATGTTGTTGATGAAAATGTAAATTTTATGCAGTCGAATCTAAGCCGAGCAACAGAAGTGATTACTACCCTTGGAATACACTAACTCGAGGAAGGACACCATAGTTCGATCTGAATTAATAGATTTCTTTTCCATATTCGAAAGTGCATAAATTTTGAAAAGCTCCAAGTGCTTTTCTACAATTAGTAGCTATATCATAGCCATATTTAAAACAATCAATAACAGAATATTGACTATCAATTTAAAACATATGCAAATGGCAATTAGGCAGCTTCTTCTCTTTCAATTGAATTGAAAAGCTTTTATAGGAAACATTTTTGAGGGCATTTGATTTCAAATTGGTTTGTGCACAGCATCTGCAAGAGTATTACAGTTGCGGTATTTAACGAATTATTATTTTTTTCCTTTTCAGTTTTTGGGGCTGCTGCTGCATTATTCTTGTCTTAACCTTAACGAAAAATGCCAACAATTTACTTTAACTTACTTTTTTTTTATGTACTTAGTGGCATGACATTTGCAGTGTTTGTGTTGTTGTTGCTGCTTCTCTGTCTCTCTCTCTTTCTCCCTCTCTCTCTCTCTGTCTCTCTGGAACCGCAACAACACACAAATCCTTCCGTTTAGTTGGTGCTCTGCTCTGTCTTACTTTGTGTTTGCCTGTCTGCCTGCCCTGAGTTAAGTCTTTAGTTTTCGTTTTCCTACGTTCTGCGTTCTGTGTTCTGCGTTCTGTGCTTTTGTATTTTTGAATTTTAGTTACTGCAGCCCAAAAGCCATAAAATTTATGTTGCTTCATTCCTCAATAATTGCATAGCTCGGTAAATTTTAATGCAAGCGGTCATAAATAATTTTGTTTTGTGGATTCGTTTGCTCGACTTGCACCACAAAATAAATTACGTTGATACGCTAAATAACTACGTAGTCTGTATCGTAATAAAAGCCAGAAAGGCATTTTCCAGCTATCGTACAACTAAAGTGCATTTTTCGCTTGATATTTTCTTTAACTGTAACAAATACAACTTCTACAACAACAACAACAACAACTCGTAATGTCTTGGGGGCACTTTGCGTGACTTGGCGTTTGGGGCACGTGACGTCACGCAACATCGTCAATTGAATTGTATGCACTGCACGCATATGACCCGCACTCGGCCACTGCCACGCCCATAACCACTACCACTGCGGAAACGCCCACTTTTGTGGGGCAATCGTAATTGCGACTGCATCGTTACCGCAGTTTGCAAAAGCAAGTTAGCGTGATGAGCATGAATCTATCAGCGAAACTCGATGAACTGCAGCGAGGCGATCGACACCTGGAGACGACAGTCGCCTTGTGCGAAATCCGCACACAGCTGCAGGAGCTGACCAAGTCCGTGGAGAGCTGCCAGAGTGAGGTATCGGAGGTAAGTACACTACACAAAATTAACTCCGCATTGAGGCTTGAAATTTGGGTTTTCCTCTTATCTGTTTCGTGTGCGTGTGTGTGTGTGCGTGCAGGTCAAGCGTGACATGGTGGCAATCAAACACGAACTGGACACCGTGCAGCAGGTGAAGGAGGAAATTGAGGAGCTCCGCGAATATGTGGACAGACTGGAGGAGCATACGCACAGACGGAAGCTAAGACTTTTAGAACAAGTTTGTAGCTTAAATTATTTGCCATGTTGTGTAATTAAATACTTGAATTTCATTTCTATTCATGTACAAACCAAACCAATACCACAAATACCAATACCAAACACCCAACACAGAATACAAACACACAACCGAACAATACGACACTGAAAAGTTGTGCTCACGATGCAATTTATTTAAAATTGTATTTCAATATACACCATATGTGTATATTTATATATATATGCGATATATGAGCAACGTGGGCGCAACTTTCAAATACCCTACATACACAGACGGCTTTGAAATTTACACATTTTAATTGCTTAAGTTTCGATCATATTATATTTTTTGTATATTGTTTCTCAATAAAAATTTGATATGAATATTCAAAAACTCTGTAGATACTTTATTTGTATTATTTTGCCTAGTTTTATTATTATAATTTTACAGCGCAACTTTTGCCAACTTTTTATTTACCGACAGACAACTTTGTTTTTATTTAAATCAGCTTCAAGTTAAACAAGTAGCAAATTGGCCTCATCTCTCAAAAGCATACTCTAGTATTTAATTTCTGGTGCACACTCGTTTGCAAAGCGTTTGAAGAACCCGCACAAACCCAACCAATCATCCCAAATCCCGCCCTTCAATTGCTGATAACGTGCTATACTAATTTAATCGGTCTTTTTTATTTATTGTATCCATTTTGTAGGGTCTTACGTTCTTCCTCACCTATTCCATATTCTCGGCGGTGCTGGGCATGCTCCAATTTGGCTACAATACTGGAGTCATCAATGCGCCCGAAAAGAATATTGAGAATTTCATGAAGGATGTGTACAAGGATCGCTATGGTGAGGACATCAGCGAGGAGTTCATACAACAGCTCTACTCGGTGGCTGTCTCAATATTCGCCATTGGCGGCATGCTCGGTGGTTTCAGTGGTGGCTGGATGGCCAATCGCTTTGGCAGGTTGGTAATCGGTAACCAGCACAAGGAACTCTAATTCAAAATCTTTATCTTTCTCTTTTCAACATACAGAAAAGGAGGTCTATTGTTGAACAATGTGCTTGGTATATCGGGCGCCTGTTTGATGGGTTTTACCAAAGTTAGTCATTCCTATGAAATGTTATTCCTTGGCCGATTTATAATTGGTGTAAATTGCGGTAAGTTGCCCCACAGTTGCCAATAGTATGTGCATTGCGATTACATCGTCATCTTCGTCTTGCAGGTCTCAATACATCGTTGGTGCCAATGTACATCTCTGAGATAGCACCACTGAATCTGCGCGGTGGTTTAGGTACTGTTAATCAATTGGCTGTGACTGTAGGTTTATTATTATCCCAGGTGCTGGGAATTGAACAAATCTTAGGCACTAATGACGGCTGGCCCATACTCCTGGGTCTGGCCATATGTCCAGCAATATTGCAATTAATATTACTGCCAGTTTGTCCCGAATCGCCCAGATATTTGCTCATTACCAAACAATGGGAGGAGGAGGCGCGTAAAGGTAGCAAATGCTCAAATACTCATTTAAAAATATAAATCAATACAATTAAATTGATTTGATTCTATTTGCAGCACTGCGTCGACTGCGCGCCTCCGGTTCTGTGGATGAGGACATTGAGGAGATGCGCGCCGAGGAGCGCGCACAGCAGGCCGAGAGCCATATATCGACCATGGAGCTCATCTGTTCGCCCACATTGCGTCCGCCACTAATCATTGGCATTGTGATGCAGCTGAGCCAACAGTTTAGCGGCATCAATGCCGTCTTCTACTATTCCACATCGCTCTTCATGAGCTCCGGACTGACTGAGGAGAGCGCCAAATTTGCCACGATAGGCATTGGCGCCATTATGGTAACCAACAACCAATCAGTCCTCAAATCTCTTTCATTTCTACAAATACTCTTTGTTTTTATCATGTAGGTTGTAATGACTTTGGTGTCCATACCGCTAATGGATCGCACAGGTCGCCGTACGTTGCATTTGTATGGACTGGGCGGCATGTTCATTTTCTCCATATTCATAACGATTTCATTTTTGATCAAGGCAAGTACAGGGGTTACCAATATTCTATATACAATATACTCTCTAGATATTTCAATATATCTTAAAGTGCGTCAAGTATTTGCCTGAACTTTTTTGAGTTTTTGCATATATCAATTATAGGCAGAATGCATTTGATTTTGATAATGATTTTTAGATGCTATCCAAATATTTTAAAACTAATGCCACATGCATCTAAATCATGAAATACATACATACATATATGCGTGTGTTTTATAAATATTTGAATATTGACATACATATTTTATGCATGAAGTTGTGTAGCGCTCTAAGTAAATGCGAAACCAAACAAAAAAAAATAAATAAAAGGGCGGGTAAACATAAAAAAATGATAAACAAAAACATGGCATGACAGTTGTCCCGTGCGTATTTCTATAAATTATTGATGTGAGAAATGTACATTTGAATTTATAATATGTTGCCCAGCAATCAATTTATCATTCCTTTCTATCGTATTGCATTTAGTACAGTATGCCATTTGTAGATATAAACATATATGTTTAAATTAGGACGTGTAATATATTATGTTAAGCCATTTATTAATTTTTTACACCAAATTTTAAAATACGTTTTAAATGGAACACATCCGTTAAAATAATATTTATTTATGCATGCAATGCACTTAATTGCCGCTTTTAAAGAGCTTAAATGATTGTTAAAGTATATAATTTATTACAAAATGTAGTGTTCGATTATTTACTATATATTATTATTTACGATTATGTACATAAATACTTATTTATTTGTATATGATAATCCTTGCTGATCGTTTTCGCACCCAAATACGAACTGCTTGCTGTATACGAGTATTTGTTAGCTTGATATTTGTGTTGTGCCTAGGTTAAGTTGTTGCCTAAATGAGCTGCACATTCAGTTATAGGCTGGACTCAGTAAAAATTTAGCATGTCTAACCGTCATTTAAGGCTGTCATTTCTTAATGAAAAGACTTCGCTTCAACTGATCGTGTTTAAGTGGTTGGCAGCTCATTTAGGCAATTGTCTCGCCCCTCATTTAAAAGCTATTCTCGACTTGGCAGGCTTTTGCCCCATTTAAACACAATCCATTTAACGAATGTGCAAAAACTATATATATTTTACAACTTATATTTTAATTTCATTTATTAACTTAATTGGGATAATCCAAAAAAAAAAAAAACAAAAAAACAAAGACACGGTTTCAAATGCAAATACAAATTACACGAATTTGCAAAAAGTTTTCCGGGCACCAAATGCAAACAGTTCACACACAGCAAACACAAGCCAGTGTTGGAAATTGTACAAAGCTGTCGCTAAATTGAAAACTAGAGCAGAACACGCGCTGATAAAACGCTTTAGAAGGCCACTTTCAACACACAAAACTCACACACTGTCAATTGTGTAACACGCCGCTTCATTTATTAAATAGACTTGATATAATATAATATAGTATTATTTATTTAAGATATACTAGTATTTTCTACTATTTGTACTTTAAGAACTCTCCCAAAAGGTTACAGCAAAAGAATAAAAACTCAAGTGACAGTTTGTTTTGTGAAAAGTGCAGCGATGAGAACAAATGGTAACCGTTCAACTCTTTGAGAACCAAGAAATTAATTACCTAATTGACTTCCATCTACTAAGTATATCCCAATGAAAAAGGTCAACTCATGCATAAAAGTGATTAGTTCTATAGGGGGCTTATCTTTACAAATTTTTACTTTACTTTCTTATAAATATGATGACAACCTCCTTGATTTGTTTTGGTTTAAACGTTAAATGAGAATGAAAAACGAAAAAAATAACAAGAAGAAAAATGAAAAATGAAAAGCCTACAAATCATCGAGAATGCGATTACTATGCATTTTGTATAGGAGTTTTTTGGTTATGTGCAGGAAATGATCGATTGGATGTCATATCTATCTGTGGTGGCCACGCTCGGCTTTGTTGTATTCTTCGCCGTGGGACCCGGCTCCATACCCTGGATGATCACAGCGGAACTGTTCTCGCAGGGTCCCAGGCCCAGTGCTATGGCCATTGCGGTGCTGGTCAATTGGATGGCCAATTTTGTGGTCGGCATTGGTTTCCCCAGCATGAAGGTGTGTCACTTACCCTCTAATTATTCAAATCTGAATTGATATTTACTAACACGTTTCTCGATTTCAGACCGCTCTGGAGAACTACACTTTCTTGCCATTTAGCGTGTTCTTAGCCATATTTTGGATATTCACCTACAAGAAGGTTCCTGAGACCAAAAACAAAACCTTTGAGGAAATCTTGGCACTCTTCCGTCACAACAACGGCAGGTATGTTGGTTAGATCCATTTTAAAGCATTAGGCTATGCACACAGCTCATTGCAATTTGATAACTAGCTCTGAATTCATAACAATAACAAAATAAGTAATAACCCAAAACCCCTCAGAGCAGCTCAACTACATTTCCAGAAAACTCATAACTTGTAGACCGTAACAATAAAAATAAAAAATTCAACAAATTCTAAAACGAATCCCCAAACGAAACCAAATGTCAATAGTTGTCTCTTTCTTCTTAATATCATCAATTATCTACTTGGAAGTTTATTATGCGGTTTGCATATAATAAGTGTCGTATTTGATATTCTGTTTGTATTGTATAGCCAGATAGCTATGCAATGCAAAACTCTATCGCCTAATTTGTTAATTTTTGAAATTTATCTCTTGTTTATTTTGTTGCACATTGTGTTTTATCGACTGTTTTGAAAATAATACCAATGTCCATTCTATGTATGCCCAAAAAAAACTAAAGGACATTTCGAGATAGTAGACTGTACGGGTAAGTTGCATGAACTAAGAGAAACTGAAAAACAAAAACAAAAACAAAAAACAAAAAACAAACCAGTAAACAGCTCGATAAACTCAAGTTAAACAACTATAAACAAAAACTTCAATCTGAAGCGTTTCGCTCTATTAAAACGTAGCTCGTTTGCTGTACTTTATTAGTTCACTCTAAAGCAACTTTATTGTAAATTTTAATCAATAAAACAAAAAACAAAAAAAAAAACATAAAACAAACTAAATTAAATTCTATGAAAACTTGCGCTCAAAGTTTCATACTTTTTCGGCATGTCTGCTTAACTTTGCCTGTACTACTCGTTACTTTGTTACAATTACAATTACAAATACTACTACAAACAATCAATAAACAGCTGGAAACAGTTGACAACTACTTAATTAATACAAGTTCATACTTAGCAATTTAAATATAAATTACTCAAATATTTAATATGAATTTAAATACTCTGTACTCTTCTATTTAAATGCCATGTTTCATTATCAAACGTTTTGTAACTCTCTTTCTATATATATTTCTCATGTCACCCTTCCCAACAAAAAAAAACACAAAAAAAAATCCAATTTCAATTTCTAATTCATGCAGCGCCCTTACATCTCAAAATCCCGCCCTGAGTCTTTGTCCTCTCTGCTCATTGTTCATTCTAAATAAATTGGTTAGTTTAAAGCACCAAAAATTTTCAGTGTTAAGTCAAAAACTCACATTGCACAACGACAACAGCAAACAACACGCATACACACGCACACCACACACACATAGATATAAACACCAGCATAACATACATACAAATATATATATATATATATATTTTATATTATATATATATTTATATATGTATAAATATAAATATACAACACATTTTGATTATGTTGCTTGTCCATTTAGTGGGGCCAGTGTCAACGACTGTGTCAACAGTGGCTTTGAGGCGGACATTGAGATATCGCAACGTGACTCTAACGCAACACGATCCAAAGTACAGTAATGTGGGACAGCTGCCTACCCTGTTGCAATGTCGTAGCAAACTTAATTGACATTCCAATGTGTGCACAAGGAAACAGTCGCATTCTCAACAGTCGAAAATCGTATTTTTCTCAACTTCGCTTATGCTTCGAAGTGAAATTGATTGGAAAAATTTGATTTCGACTGCACTTGCGATTATTATTATTTACTTTTAATTTATTTTACATATATATTTTTACTTTAATTTGCATTCCATACTCTTTTTACTTGTAATAAATATTGTTTGATATTATTTGTGTTTGTTTCTGTTTTTTATTTGTATCATATGACAGCCGCGCTTAATAACTTCCAAGCCAGTTAAACTTAGGATCTAAGATTTTTCAGCTAAGGTATTCACATACACAACCACTTCCACACACACACACACATATACACACCGACAGACAGACAGACAAACACACACCGTTCCCGATTTTTGATTGCCCTCCTTGCCTCCCCCTTTGTGTGCGTGCGCGTATTTGTGTTTATGTCCAAAGTCTCCAAATTGCTGTCATTAGTTTGCAAAAATTAAATTTAAAATACGTTTACACTTAAAACATAATCGTAGAGTGTGCGAATTTCAGGAGTATGCTAAACTGCACAAATAGCTTGGAGCCACAAAGTATGAATTCTGGCATCGAGCATGCCGCATTGATGGTATCTGAGGAGAAGACCCAACATGACTCACGTAAGAATAAATAAAAAACAAAAAATCAAAATCGTCAAAAATTGCAATTACTACAAACAAAATCCCAACTTACGTTCTTAATTTTAAATTATTATTTGTTGTGCAAATTTCTCGTTCAATCGAAAATAAAACAAACACTTAACAAAACAATACAATACAAATAACAAATACAATATTTACTTATTCATGTTGTAATACAAAAAAAACAAAAACAAAACACAATTACACATATCCAACATAATACTGCATACAAAATGACCTCTAGGTAAACAAAGCAGACGTTTAGCTTGGCCCAGAAACTAACAATAAACTAAAATATACTTGTAAAACTGCCAAAAAGTACACACACTCCCACAGATACCTACATTCATGTATATAATATACACACACACACATACACATACAAAGTATTATATATATATATATATATATACACTTATATTGCAGTTATTTTGTACACATGTTCGACATGTCGAATTCTTTTTTTTTTAGTGTGGAATATGTTTATACAATTACACTACCAAACAAACACACACATACACACACACAGATACATGATGGAATTAACAAAAATAATACACAAAATTACGCATAATCATATATTTTTATGAGTAATTAGCAAACATTGCCATGTATATTTACTTTTAATTTGCAATATAATCTTTTTACAAACATCCAACCATGTCAAGTCATTTTTTAGTATACATATGTCTGACTTCTGTGTATTTGCATTGCATGTATAGAATTACATACATACATTTTACAATATTTATTAGCATACCAAATTATCTAAAGCAGTAATAGCTTATTATTTTATATATACGAATAAATTGTAGAATTTTGCTTTAATTAAACTGAGAGTGAAATGTAATTGTACATTTTAAAGTTCAATTTATATTCGATATAACTCAAATCAATTGAGATAAAATTTCTCAATATTTAAAATCATATAAACAGTTGCATTCACTTTGATTATTTATAGAAATAGACCTTTGTTGTTGTTGACATTCTTTTAAGCTGCTTGTTTTAATATATTTATTCATAGCCATTTAATGTTAGCAATTACATGTATAAGAACTTTAAAAATCAATATAAATTTAATTATCGTATTCTTTACTTTCCATCGCATACATTCATAATTCCCTTGGCAACTATGAATGGTGTCGCATTGAACAAAACCAATATAAAACAAAAACATCAATAAATTATTTACATTGGCGAATAACAATATTGGAAACCGATCAAAACATCAACTGGATCTGTACACAACAACAACATCTAATACAACAAAACTACACCAAAAATAATATTACTGCTGTATGTGACCAATTGAGAAATGAATTCAAAATATATTGGCAAAAATCTGAAAAAATGCATGAAAAAAAATACCATACGAAAACCATATTTTTACAAAATATATACTAAAGTCTTTGGTACGACTTCGTTCTCGTTGACGGTTGAAGGCATGGGTCCATATCCGTTAAGCGATAGCACCAATCTCTTGGGTCCAACATCAACGAGTTACGCGAGTGGCGGAGTCGGTGTCGCCGGCTCCTCGTCTTGCTATACAAACTACGGTACAAATATACAAACGCCAGTTCCTAATCGCAAATGTTACTACAATGAGTCTGACTATGGGCGAGACGATAGCTTTCGCAGGCACTCGGCGCACGGAAGAATGTCATGTAGGTTATAATCACTACTCCTAAGTGCCACTTAACCACATTCACTGCCCCACAAACCACTCAAAATGTGGGTGGGGCAAAAAAGCCACAAAGCATTTACATAAAAATGCCGCGCGTGCCGCTTGGAAGACCGTAAACACAATTGCACCAAGCTCGTCAATAAACTAAGCCATAATATATATCTGCTCACAATCTACCTATAGGCTAAGTCGCAACGAACTGCAGACTGCAGTTTCATCTAATGTTGACAACTTTGGCTTATCAATTGCTTTAAATATTTACATATCATTTTTATTCATTTTTTTTGTATTTATAGAACGCAAGTGAAAGCGAACTTGGGACCAACTAAAAGTAACAAACAAAATCAATTGGCTAAGTAAACATGATTTCAACAAAAACTCCAAAAACACCCGCGCTCCTTTGAGATACAAAACACATTACACAAAGAGTGCCAATAATGCGACTAAGATTACACTGAACTGTCAAACATGCAATCATCTTAATTTTTACAGAGAAGATCAAAGATTCTCACTTGCTCAGCAATTTCTCAAATCTTCACATGTGTTTTATCAACTTAATAAACACATCTGAATATTTGCAATTGTTGAGAACGCATCGAACGTCATTTCATTTCTTATGTCATTCAGTTGCCTCAGTTATTTTAAGCTGCATGACGTTTGCTCGAAACTTGTTTTACAATATTATAAAATTAATGCGCATGTCGATTATTGGCATGTACTTTTTGCATGCACTGTTTAGCGTTAACCACTAAAACCACATACTACTACAACTAAATCCAGCCAGCAAACTAACTAACTAAATTTTAAAAAAAGAACCGAAATAAAAGTGCAAAAGTAGCTAATTTGGTGGCTCTATTAATTGGAATATTTTTTTTTCGATTTTTTTTGTTGTTTTTTTCTGCGGCTTTTGCGCTTTTTGTAGCTGCATCCGAGCGATTTTTAGACGGCGGCCGAAGTACACACCAGGGCCGGAGCGCTGCCTCTGCGCCCCATCACCTTCGTCAGCAAGCACCTGTCTGCCCGAACAGCGGGCCTTGACTGAGGAACGCCTCACCTCCTGAAACTGCCAGTGTACATTCAACGAGCCGCACTGAGGAGCAACAACAGCAACAGCAGCAGCAGCAGTCCTCCTCCACCTTAGCCGCCACACAGCCACACAATCAGCATCAGCATCAACCCTGTTATACCACCACACACGAATATGTGCATTGTAGCTATGAGAAGGACATTGTATGTGATCAAGCGCCACAGACGCAGTCATCGCATGGTCAACACAAGCATGAGCCGCTCCAGCAACAGGAGGCGGTTGCCATAATCTCACACTGCCATCAGACACAGCCGCCATCGTCGCAGCGCAAGCACAGCCACAGTCACAGTCCGCATCATAGTCGCCACACATCACCACACAGCCATCACTCACATCTGGGTCAAGGTCCGAGTCACAGTCAGAATCAGGGTCACAGTCAGGGTACGGGTCCAAGTTTGGGATCTGGTCAGCCGCAATCGCACTCACATCATCATCATTATCGTCGTCGACGTCGGCAGCACAGCGTCGCTGCTGTTGGTGGCAGCGGCAGTCTGCCGGGCGCCCACACGCCCCACTCTGCCAGCGGTGGCCACCACAGTTCGCGTCATGTGTGCAACAGTCGACGCCATCGCTCCGTCACCGATGTCTCCTGCCAGTCGATCAATGCCTGCCAGGAAGCAGCGTGTGCCGACCGCGAGGTCCAGGAGATAATGGTGCGTAAGACCTGCTGCAGTTCATCACGCACAGAGCTGGCTCAGTACTTTGCTGAGGATCTCTATGGCTCATCGTCGCGACGACCGAGCTCCTGCTGCACCAGTTCGGACTACTGCTATCAAACGGACTCCACCAGTTTATACGGCTCAAGATCCTCTTTAAGTCGCAACAACTCCATCAAATCCGCTTCGGCTGCGATGCGCAAGCAGCAACGCCTCCAGGCACGCCAACCCAGCTACACATCAATATCGTTGCGGGGCCTAAATGCCAGTCGGCCAAATAGTCAGCTCGGCTCGCTGACCTCCATATTCGATCGTGCCAAGCAGATTGCCAACGAAAGCAAATACATCGAGCAGCAGGAGCAGCGACAGGCAACGGCAACACCCTCTCGTGGCTCCACGCTGGAGCGCCACAGCTCGAAGGGAGCGCTGAGTAATGATCTGCCGGAGTATGCATGCTCGCCATCGCCGATTCGCTGGAGTTTCCTCGCCGATGGCAAGTCGCCCACTGACTTTGAACTTGAGGGCGCAGTAGGTGGCACCGATGAGGCAACAGCAACAACAGTCGCACACTCAACGGCAACGGCAACAGAAAATAAAGTAGATGCCTGGCATGTGCCCGAGCCGGACATGAAGCCATGCCGGAAACTGACCAGCAGCACGGAGAATAGCAGCTGGAAGAGCACCCTGTATGATGATCAACCCAGCACCTCAGCAGCGGCACGCAAGCGACGTGGCAGCAACTATCACTGTGAATTTGAGGAGTCGACAACTATCTTATTCCATCAAGATCAGGAGGGTGAGGCGTATAATAATTGCTGCAACAACTACATACAATGCAACACGTATCTGGATCAGGATCTGCAAATTACCAGCGAGGATATCCATCAGTATCTGTCCAAGGGCAATCCAACTGTTGGTGATGTGCTCAACAATTCCAAGAACTATCCGTTTCAGCCTAGCAATGCGCTCGAGTTTCAATACAAAAACAACTTCCAGCAGGGCAACAACAACAACAACACCACCAACAACAACACCAACACCACCAACACAGCCTCCAGTGATGCGGGTGAGTGTTTCCAGCGGTACGAGCGTAGCTATCACGCCAGCAAGGAAACGAACTTAAATCAGAATCCTGGCGGAGTGCAGGCACCACCCGAGCCATTGTCCCCCAGCAACATAAATCTATCGAGCAGCAGCAACAATATCAACATTGTTTTCGGCAGCAGCAGCCAGGAGCGCAATGCCAACGAGGTGAAGTTCATTAATAATCACTCTGGGGAAAGAGATGCCGACAATCAGCTGGTCAGCTCGGAGGCACATCATGCGGGTTATCTGCCCTACACGTATCCCAGCTATGATTATACCAACATGTCTGGCAATTCGCACTTTGAGAAACCGCTGGGCATCGATGAACTGCCCAAAGAGTTTGTTGGCATGCATGGATTGGATGGTGGCGGATCAACAACCAGCGAGCATTCATCATCGTTGCACTTTGACTCCTTCGATGCCGCCTCGGAGCACAATTTGTTGTCACAGCCCATGTCACCCGGCTCACCAGCCTCAGCCTCGGTGAATCCTGCTGGCGATGCATATATGCACCTGCACCACTCACACTTTGACCATCAAGATCACCAGCAGCAGCAGCAGCAGCAGCAGCATTATCACGGCCAGTATACACAGGCGCACAACTCGCACCCGCACTCGCATTCTCATCCGCACAGCCATGGCCATCATCATAGCACCAACACCAACACCAGCACAACGCATCATTATGGCACACACGACCTGGCCGAGGAGCAATTCCGGCTGGGCAATGCCCTGAAGAAGGTGCGCAAGCGTGCACGCAAATACACAGATTTCCTGCGCAAGAAATGAGCTGAGATTGTGAGCCACACTCTTGCTGATTAGCCTTAAATTCCTCCCACTCCCCATCTCTAGATTCGCCATACTTTGGGCGCAAGTATGTGGTCGTCTCGAAGTCGCAATCGCAGCCGCGACGCTCACAGAGCCTGGACGAGGATTAGCTGTGGATGGACGATCAAATTGCATTTTTAGAACACACTTTTCGACAAGCAATAAATGAAACATTTTTCATACACTCACACAAATCGCGAAATTAATGATTAACTTAAATTTTTACACTGCCAAATGATGAAGACGATTAAAATTAATATTTATTTGTGGTAAGCCAAATAGTAATGTGCGATGGACAGACACCTATGTACACTCACTCAAACACATATAGACAGCACACATATTATCACATTCACATACGGCAGTCGGCTATAAATGAACAAGAAGAACAACAAGAAGAACAACCACAACAACGACTATTTTAAAAATACCTAAGCTACAGTGCGTATACATAATAAGTATGAACATTTGTATATTCAATTTAAACATTAAGAACAGGTTTTGAATTTGCATATTTAACTTACAAATTAAACAAACAAAAAACAAAAACAACAAACCGAAAGGCAAATGCAAATAATAATGCACAACTACCCAAGCATAGTTATAAAATTAAACAATAACTTTAAATACTTATTTGTAAGAGGTGAGAGATCAAAGCAGCGCTACAAGATTTAGAGTTTCAGCAACTGCGGTAACAGCAAAAACCAAAACAAAAAGCAAATAAGAAGAAAATATTAACAATTAAATTAAAATGAAAAAAAAAAAAACAAAAACAAAAAAAATAAAATAAAATAAAGCTAATTAAACATATACAAGAAGAATAACTGTAGCTGACACATAAAAAATGCAATGTTATTGAGCATTTCACTAAATCGGTAAGTTAAACTTAAATATGGCATATAGAAAGGTGATTTTTTTTTATTTATTTACTATTTTATATGCGAATTTTTATGGTTGAAGTTGAACAAGTTTCTTCAGGGACTGCTTGCAATTTATGTATAAGCAATAAGCCGTTTTGCTCATAGAAAACAATTTAGTTAATTCCGAAAACAAATTCCATTTATTCTCTTTTCATTTTGAGGATGTTTTTAAAAAAATATTTCTCTCATAGTTTCGCTTTTAGTTTTGCAAATTCATTTTTAGTGCATGGATCCCAACAACTGTCTTCCAATTGTATTTTATAGTAAGTTTCTAGTTTGAATTTCCTTAAATATAAACAATTTATGAAATATATGAATCACAAACACATACTTATATAATTTCAATAAATTAATTAAATCAAACGTACCTTGCGTGACAAAAAATAAATAAATTAAATAATAGTAAGCAAAAGATGAACAACTGTAAATAATTGCTGTTAGTTAATCATAAAATTAATTTACAGATAAATTACATTAAAATAATTAATATAATTTGTAGTTATTAGCTGAAATCATTAAAAATAGTAAACCGGAATAATAAATATAAATGCACTGCCAAAAAGGTTTTATGAAAAAAAATAAAATAAAAAACAACAACAAAATAGATTGAACAAACCTAAGATGATGAATATAAGTAAAACAAACGCAAAAAAAAACAAATGAAAAAAATACAAACGAAAAACAAAAACTGCTGTAAATATAAGAATGAATACATATAGAAAATCATAGACATTTTTTAATGGCACATTAATTAACGAGGAGCATGCAATTTGCAGATTTTTTACATTATTTTAAATAACTAAGTAAAAACAATAATGAGTTGAATATAAATTCATGAAACCAACAAAAATATAAAGCCACGTGGCAGCGATTTTGTAACAAAATCAAAAGAGAAAATGTTAACATTGCATAAAGTTTAAATTAAAAAATAAATTTAAAAAACAAACCAAGTATTAAAAGGAAAAAGAAACAATAGAAACGCAAAACGACTACGAAACGATGTTAACTGGTTGTGAGTTTGATTTGATAAACAGCTGAGATACTTTCGATTGGCAAAGTATCTTAGGTGCATATCAGTTGAGCCGAACTAGTCAAATGTTGTCTGCATTATTCTAAATGTAAATAAATAAAATAAAAAAGCAAAAACCAAATAAGTTAATTATTGCCCATACAGTAAATATACACACGCAATGAATTAACTATGCAATTTAACGAAATTAGTTCATAAAACAATAAAAGCAACAAATTACTGATGCATACAATTTTAATGTTCACAAAATTCAAAAATAATACACACTGAAGTACGCGTTAATAAAAAGAAATAATTTAAAAACCAAACAATTTATGATAATCATACACAAAGTTGAATGCAAGTAAAACAAAAAAAAAAAAAGCAAAAAACCGTAAACCGAAAACTAACAGCAACAATTAGACAAAAGCGTAATAAAAATGTGAGAACCGTTTGAATTATATAGCAGAATTAATACAATTACAATTGATCGACAGACAAATTAGTCAAATACAAAATATTAACCCATTCAAAGTGGTTTGCATTTTTTTAATTTTTTATATTTGTTATATTTATTTAATGATTAAAAACAAGTAAACACACACATACAATAAACAGTCGGTAAAAAATATGTTCTAGCATTTGTCATAACAATATATAGTTGTGTACATAACTAGTTAAAATTATGCATTAACAGAACAGTTATCTTAAGTATATAAATACATACATATAAAGGTGAATATTAGACACAATTACACAGGCACACATACAAACTCGTACAACCACAAAAAAACACACACATAACACACACACACACACACAAAATGTATTAGTGCGAATATGAGTTTGCGTTAGTTACAACAAGAATTGCAATGAAAAATAATAATTAATATAATGATATACAACAATAAACTTGAACTTAGGTATATAATTATGAATTTAAATTATTTTTAGCAAAAACAAAAATATAAAAAAAAAATGATGAAAACTCTAAAAACACTTAAAGCAAGAAAAACTTATTGAAATTAAATTGAAGAATTAAGTAAAAATAATTGCTCAATTTAGCAAAGAGTATAAATAAAGAATTATACGTTAAGTAATAATTTCAAATAACAAACTGTTTTATGATTCGAAAGGAAATGGAATGGGAATTTAAAATAATACCGGGTCGGTTTTTAAATTAGTATTAATAATATTATTTCTTTCTCACGGGACAGTCTGAAGGTAAGCAGTACAATTTTTTAAGAGTAAATAAGAGTGCTTGCTGCTGACAATCTAGACAAGGTTTCAGACAAAGCATTAATGAAAATTCTTAAAATACATCAGCCGCAATGCACCTCAAATATAAAATATACTGAAATCTAATTTTTATTGTTACATATGTACATAAAATCGGTAAGTTCTTCCAAATCCCTGGCCTACTTGTTGGCGAAGTGAGCAAAGCTTAAATCTATATCGTTTCTGTACATATCGTAATTAAGCTATGTATAGTAGGGTAGGTATTTGCCATGGATAAGCTTTTAACGTCTTTGAATAAAGCTTGCTATATATGCTGGATATAAGCTTTTATCCTCCTCCGTCCAACTTTTACAATGAGGAATCATTCTATTGATCACATTTATTGATATATATTTTAGTGCAGTCTTTGCGTGTCGAGAATTCATAATTATACAATATTTTGCAATTATACAATAATAACCTAATAACTAAGCAATTACTCAAGATGTTCATATTATACAATATTTTCTGTTTCGGATAATGAGATAGCGGATACACAGCAGTGCCACAAATTAGGTTGCGGCATTGGCTAAGCTACGCTAAAGCTATGAAAGACGGCATACTTTCAGGGATTCGTAGGCAAAGATAGAAAAGACTCGGAGGAAATGGAAATGATTTGTAGAGCGAACTGGTAAGCACTTGTGTTATTTGTAGCAACGCTGTATTTGATTTGAATAATTATTTTGTTTTCTAGGCAGGCTTTGCATTAATGATTTAAAAACTCACAACAGAATAAGTCAGAAACAATTTTAGTAAAGCAAGTTTCATCCTTCATTTTTTTTTTTGAAGCAATAAAATTTTTACGAAAACAATTTTTGGGCAATTTTTAAAGAAATTCATACAACACTTTGGACAGTTTCAAATACTTGTGTAACAGAATTATGTCCTCGCAGATTAATGCTGAAATGTGCGGAGGAAAGGGCTCTGAGGCGACCGGTGCTGGAGCTGCGGCATACATGAATTCATTCTCCAGTGAAATGTCTATGAAGCTGGAACTGAAATCGTCTCCCAAGCAGATATGCATACCACCACATCAACGCCATCGGATGGCCAGCTCGGAAATGTGGTAATTTCATTACACCTAATAGATGATTGAAGCAAACATAATCAATGCATATTTGCTTAGTGTCTCTACAAATAGAAAGGATACTGAGATGCCGGACAAGTCCTGGTCAGTGTTGTATGTCGGCGCCAAGAAGGATGATAACTTTGAATAGCAGACAAACGTTCCTGTTGCCTTCTAGAGTCCTAATTTAACCACCTAATATTAATTGTGATTGACTTGTACGCATCCACATCATTCAGTCTCACCCAATGCTATAATATACAAATTCTCTCACTCGTGCCAGTGCATAGTATATATATCATTTTTCAAGTCTTCTCCATCTATTGTAAGCATGTGTGGGTGGTATTCTCCCGATAGCATTCACAGCCAATTGCAATTGACGTTGAGGTTTACCCCGACCCTCGTCTCGTCTCTAGACAACGATTGTGATTAATGGCGACAGCGTCATTGAATGCGATCTGGCGCTAAATATGCACGACCACGAACCGTTTCATGATGTCATTTGCAAATGAAAGACTCAGTATCATTGAATGGCACTTGATACGCCATATAGCGCGCGTCTTCTGTCGCCAAAGAATAGCCAGCAACAGCTTTCGACAAGTGACAAGTGAAACTATGTACGAACGGGTATCTGGAATAGGCGGAAATAATGGCTTAATGATACAAATGATGTGTCTTACTTGATACTTGACATGTTTTGAAATACGTGCGAATTTGCCGAGAAACTGATACACACATGCGACAATAATGATCATCACATTGTTCAATCAATTTTGAAAATTTGACGTCTTTAATGTAGCTGCCGGTACTCGGGATTAGTCTTTAAAAAATTATATTTAATTAATCAATAATTGTGCTTAAAATGTTAAGTTAAGTTAAGTTTGTCAAACAGCTACAAATTGCTTGTCATGGAATTTTATTTCCAATTTGAATTTACATATATATATTATTTGTCAAAAATGGAGATGGCCTTTTCTGCCGCATCTAATGCCAGAAAATGTGACTTGTGTCTTTACGCTCACTTTGCTTGTCGTTAACTATTTTGTTATGAGCAGGAGTTTTGTGCATTTTCACATTGTCAAAGACCTTTCTCTGTAAACACTCAAAAAGTGTCTTTAAAGTACCTAATTGCACACTACCAAACAAGTCAAAATGTCTAGTACGACTGCAAAACTTTTCAGTGAATGGCGTTGAATACTGAAATCTAAACGGGTATTTTAGCTATTGCAAATAATCTGATTTTTTTAAGGCTGAGAACTATCGAAATACAGGATACGGAGAAAGTTATCGACAAAATGGTGTACAAATACTGCTATAGCAAACTTAGATCTCGATCTCTTATTGTCTCTGAGATCAGCTTAATCATACAAACAAGCATTGCTATAACGGCTATAACTTCTGCTTGTTACATACTATTGCACACTTTTATTATACCCACTCTACCCATTTTCAATGGATTTAAAATATACAAATGCACAGCAGTATATATAAAATCACACACACAGACAGATAGAAGCGCACAATGCTTTAATTAATGAGGTAACAGACAGCCCCCAGACATCGAAAATGGGGACGTGCTAATTGTACGCGTGGTGAGCTGATGACGCAGAGTGTATATATGGACTAGAATGCCACTGGGTTGCCTGTATAATACTCAAAACAGCTGAATGGCTCTAGATCAAAAAATGACAATCTAAAGGTAAAATCATGGCCAATGAAAATATGTACACCTGTTGCAGGCCACTTGTAATGTAGGTAATATCGACGTCGATCAATATCAATTGTGAATCAATATCGCCAACTTGAAGAAGAAGAAGAAATCAATTGTTGTGAACAAAATAAAGTCAGCAGACAAGCTTTAGAAATAAATATTTAGTTGTGAATGCCACACACATGGAATCTTTGTTATACGGCAAAGAAAGAATAAGAATTGCATTTGCCCGGAGGAATTCAATATAATAATAATTAATAACGAAATTTTTTAAATTCCATTTCTAAAGAAGATGATTAGAATAGATTTTCCCAGTAGTAATCCACACTAGAAACTTTATTAGCCCCACAATATATTGTCGTTTCCGGCGCATTCTATTGGCACTAGCCCACTTCCCAAAATGAACATCAAAACTGCTGTGATTTTAAAATGTTTGGTTTATTTGGTCTAAAGGGGCAATGAAATCAGTGCAAAAACTTAGAAATGTGTAAGAAACATGTGAAACAATTGAAAATTACTAAGTATAATGAGATCATCGCAGTTTGTGCAAAATTGTTTCATGGGCTGAGCTATTTATTATAAGACCTAGGATTTTTAATTAATCTTCTCAGACTGAGCTAACAAAAATGCTGCGCATACAATCCGCTAAACTTATTTGATCAACTTTTCCATTTTTATTATTTCTTACGACGTTTCCATAGATATAGACATAGTATATTGCATATATCTTAGCTCGACTCGCAATTGAAATGGACCACAAAATTGGTCTTCGCAATTTTTGCATTTTATGGCGTACGCCGCCAACTTCAAAGATGCCCACATAGTTTTTTTTCTTTTCGCATATTCTGCACGTCTGATTGATGGTTATGATTGATGAGATCTACACGCTGACCGCATCTGTTCGAGTATTCGTCCACATTATAGAGTATAGCAAACTCACAAGTATCTCAGCGGTCTCTGCGCTTTTAATTTATTTTCGCACTAAAAATGCTGCCGCCCAAATTGATACAATTGAACTTATTATACATTTTATATACTTTTTATTGGACTCTCTTATTTCACTGGTTCCCAGAGCTCCAGTTCCAGGCTGCACGAAATGCTTTTTTCCAATTTCAACATTTTAAACATTTGCTTAACAGCACCAAGGTCCAAAGTGCACCCAAAATATGTGTTACACATGTTCAAAAGAAAAAACCAGAAAATAATAAATATTTTGCACTGTGGTAAGATAAACTGAAAGTATGATTCTAAAAAAACAGGAAATGAACTTTTATAAAAATTTCCTTATTCACAATAAGGTAATTATTAATCTGTGTGAATATCTCTTTATGTTTTTTTTATATGTTATCAATTATTTCCAAATTCAATAATTTGCCATTTAATTATTAAATTTGAAATGACAATTAGAATTGTATACTTATGAAATGTGCATTAATTTCAGTAAAAAATAGAAAATGTATATATATTTATATATATATAATTATATTATATATATATAATTTACACGTGTACCACTGTGCGGCTCAATTCGCCTCTTGCGTAAAAATGTTCATTTTCAATTTTTGGCAAAATCTCAGATTTCCATAAAGCAAACATGAGCATAAGCATAAAATTAAATATGCATAGGAATTCGCAAGTCATCAAGCCAAATGGCATTGCCAATGCAGTTGGTAAGGGAATTGGGGAAAGGGGGAAAGCGATTGGGAAGAAGGCACAGCCAAATATGGCCAATAGTCAGGCAGGCAGTCGAAAGAAGAGACTAGGCGCAGTTATGATTCCGTTTTGGCCACGATTGCTGTGCGGCTTGCGGTGGTGTTTCGGTGGTGCAGTTGCTGCCGTTACTGTCGTCAAATGGGCCATGTGTAATTGACACGGTTCCGTGGGTGCGGCCGCGACTTCGTTTGCATCTTTAATGCGTTTTGCACACATTTAAAGCCGCCAAAATCAGCCAAAGTGCGGAACGGCAAAACGCAATTATTTAGTGCACAGTGCAGCAAATTTTCGCTTTCTGCTTGACAAATTAAATTTCACTCAGCTGTCTGCTTAGTCATGGAGTGAAAAGGAGGCTCGTTCGACGTGACGTATACGTGTTATTGCCAGTTTGCGGTCAATTTCCATTTGAATACCTGTCGATACATACACAAGTCTGTCTGTCCACTGCTAATTAACAAAATAATTGAATAATTATCTAATCAAACGAATTATCAATAATTTAAATGTTGCATACTGTACAGTTATCCAAATAATTTATTGGTTGATTGATTTTAATTGATAGATATTCGGTAATAGTGATTTCATTCATGCTTACGCATCTAAATAACTTTACCTGCGTGTGTTACAAACGTATGAATCACGCTAACTCTGAGGATTTAGATTGCTTAGCATTGTCATCGTTTTTTGTTGACAGAAATTCATGCATCATCAAGGCAATGAATAAGAATTATTCATAGGTTCTTTGTAATTTAATGTGAATATCATTCATAGATTTGCAAATAGATTAAATGTAAACAAGGTACGCCTTGCTTTTAATAGCTTGTCTTTCTCGCTTGGTATTTAAACTAGTTTCCTGCTGTATCAGAATCGGAAACATATCTAGATCGGAATTTAAACTTAAATAAGGTTGACTCACTGAAAGTTCGGGTTAGCTCATAGATGGTAATTCCTCTTATTGCTTTGCTAATTAGTTATTCAGTTTTAATCTTTTTGCGCAAAACGATGCTGTCCAATTGAACTTGATCCCAATGTTAAGTGACAATTGAATTTGATGTTTTCATTATATTTCCAAATTTGGGTCACCGAATAAAAAAAATGTAAGATCTTTGAGAGTTAAATGCTTGCACCGAATTGTAAATATTGTTAATTTATTCTAGCTACACATTGGTTAAATATGACAAACCGTTTAGCGATCATTTATTCTACCGGTTGATGCAGAATATTTGAAAAGTGTTCAAGCCGCAGGCAACATATACATACATAAGTGAATGCCGTTAAGATATTGAAAATCAATTAGTGCAATGCGGCCCACTGAGAGAGGCAACAGACACCAAGGCTTCCCCTTCCCATGTTGAAGTGTTTCTATCTCACCTCTCGCTCTTTAGTGTAAGCCCCTCTCTATCCATATTGAACGCATAGGCCTTGAAGGCGCAACACAGCACAGCCACTTGCAGCGAATGACAGAGTTTGTTTACTGCCACTGTATTTAGCCGTGTTTTGAGGACTTAGTCGTCAGTCTTGTGTCTTGTGTCTTGTGCTGGCCAGTTAGTCGCTGAACGAGTTGCCTTCAATTAGCGCCAATCGGCGATTAACAACGAAAACCAATTAAGTGACGTTTAGATGCGTCTACAACGGCATCTGCAACAGTCTGTGTGTGTTCCCAAGCAATTCCAAAGATATACATATTATCTGTCATCTCTTATCAAAAAAATACATTTAATTGCAATATATTAAAATATGCCAGTTTCAATTTCATTTATATACAATGTGGCATTATTGGCAACATGCCACACCGGTTATTTGTATGCGGCATTAATCATCGTCTTTGATTTGTGTATTTTCTATTTGCATAGCCATAAAGTTGTATTACTCACTAGCGCTATATGTTCGAAAGCACTGAATCATAAAAATAAACGATGAATTTCGAATGCTGCATGCATTTCGTGACCTTCAGCTAAAAAAAAAAAACACCATTAAATACCGTTCCTAAACTAAGCTAAACCATATTTAATATGCGCCAGTTTTTGTCTGGCACGCATTTTGGCGAATACGGCACGCACAGACAGGGAAATGGACGAGGCCAGAGATTATTTCATCCGACTGGACATGCGCTGAGATGTTGTTTCTTTTGTATTGTTGCTTATATGCGGCTCGCGGTCAGTGTGCTCATTAGGTGCCCATCGTGGGTGTTTTTTTTTACACATATAGTTGAACGTATAACTTGGCATTTTAGCAACAAGTGCAAGTTTGCGTATCCCATTAAATTCGGTGCCAGAATTCATACAATGCTTGCTTATTAATAGGACATTCCATTTTATGTTCATTGTTTACTTTATTTGTGTATACCCTAAAATGTGTAGAAAAGGGTATAATAAAGTTGGGTAAAATTATGTCCCAGGCAAAAGGGGAGCCACTCCGGCCCCATAAAGCAATCTGGCTATCTGTATGAGCAAGACCATCTTAGTAAGAAGAGCTAGAAACTATAAATATAAATTTATTTAATTCTATCGACAACTCACCTCGTTCAGATCCATTTCCGATTGCAACAAAAGCCATAATTAATATACCAATAAAAATATCATATTTCTTCAAGAACGGATAACAAACAAACATATTTATATAACTATAAATGTGTCTATTTTGCACCTTAATAATGCGTGTCTACACACATATTTGTTGTAAGCTAGTGATTTCAGTTCTGGCCTGGGAATACAAACATGTTTATAGGAAATGAGATTCTTGCTTAATTACATTTGAGTGTGCAACGCGCTTTCAAGGGAAATTTGCTAATAATAACAATAAAACCTGTGTTTTAATCGATTTAATAAATTAAACAGCTGTGATCAGGATATCTCTTAGTCGATATCTGACGTGTGTACAAGTCCATTCTTACTTGTTGGATATTTTTTTTATTTTTGATTACTGCTCGAACAATTTAGCGCTTAATTAGACTCAATTGGGGGAGTGGGGTGGTGTAGAAATACAGATTGTTTCTCCTTTGAGCATGGCAACACACTGTTCCGCATAAATTCAGATGTTGTAGTTTAATTTCTCTTCTGTTTCCTTTGGAATGTGCGAAAACTTTTGGCACATCTGGCAAACACACGCGCAAACTATCATGCAATCGAACTATTATTAGAAGAACATTTAATAGAATACAATTTTTTATTAAATTCACAAACTGATGGCAGAGTGGATTGACCTATTTTTTTGTATTATTTTTTGAACAAGTTAAGTCAACTTATTGCAAGCATTTAATTCAGCTTGATGACACGTGTAATTACAGTCTATCTTACTTCCAATTTATTAATATAAATCATATGGCTAGACAGTTGACCTCTTGATCGACACTGATGAATGAAAACACGTGTGGGTTCAATCTACAAAACCAACACAATTAGCCAGAAAACGCATGAGTTGCGCAAGTTCAAGAACAGCGTGCTAAAGAAACAATCTGTTAAATAATTCTTTTGAAGCATCGCGCTGCTAGACAATAATTGGGTTGACCTTTTTTTTGACGATGCTCACTCCATGGCAATTAGATTAGATCACTTCAGAAAAAATAAAAATTCTGACCTTGTTATCAGAAACTAAGAAAACTATCAAATTGTAATTAATTTTTCTAGCGTTGATTTCGGTTGTATATACACATTTGTGAGCTACGTGTAATGCTGCTTGTTTATGCTAAAGTTGGCGCCGTTGGTTCAATGCCAGTCCACGCCCCAGATGGTGGCGCTGTGCTTTATGTGGCCACCCATCTCCCCCGCGTGGGCAACAACTGGTGGATTGACCACTTCTATTTGTGTGTTGTACTACGATGACGTCGTCGTTGACGTTTATTTGTTGTCATATTTATTTATAGCATTGCTATTCATTCAGACAAACAGCAAGCACCCTGTATGCTGCCCATCCACTGTTTCATAAAATAATATTTTTCATTTTTTTTATTTTCCGTTCTCAATTTCGCTCGATTAAAAAGCTGTTTACTTCAAACTATTGGCTTGGTGTGACTCATAAATTGTCCACGCTTCATTAATAATAACGTTCTGTTTACATTTCGTACGAAAATTCATTATGGTGTTTTCCAACGGCCTTTGCCATTTGCAGTATATATTCATGCAACAATGTTGCCAATGCCGAAACCACACAATCTAAAGTGTCATTTATTTATCGTGCCACAAGTGCAAAAGATTAAAAAATCTTTGCCAGTAGTCCAGTTGGCCTCTTATCCACTCCACTCCAATATCCACTTATCCGTGCAGCAGGCTATTAAATGTCTCTGTCAATAAAGCTAAATGGGTCAGGCTCAAATAATCAAAAATGTGTATGTCACATTCATATATATATATATATATATATATATATATATATATATATATATATGTATATATACTCTTTATACTCTCAAAAAGTTATATATCGTATGCATGGCAATTCAATATTATCAATGTTTCTTTTGATAGCATCTATTTTTCAGATTATATTTATATATTTCTTAATAAATTCCACATATTTTGCTATATGTTGCGAAAATGTTTTCGTTGCTCTGAGCTCATCAGCGGAAAATGTATTATATTGACGTTAATAATAATAATGATAATGAAACGCTATACAATTAAGTTAATTTGAAGCATCACAAGATGCATACAACAGTGAAGAAAACAATATTTATTAAATTAAGTATATATTGTCTGCTGTTTATTTAATCGAAAACTCATTCACAGACAACGTGGCGTATTCGCCAATATTTATAAATATAAAGAGAGAATAGCAACAGGCTATTGCATCATTACACTTGAATACGAAAAATGTATTTTATTAGTGTTGTTTGCCAACTGACTAACCCATATAAACCGACTAATCTCTGTGAAAACAAAAGACAGAAGAATTGTGTCCCTGAAGCAGAAAATTGCAAAGATATTATGTTTTTAGCATTAATTAATGAAAGCAACGAAAACTGTGCTGCCTGTGCAATATCATAAATTCGTGGATGCTGATCTCATGCAAACATTTTTTGCAAATGGATCGCCGACTATAAATTTTGATCTGTTTATAAATAAGAAGCAAACGCCAGCTAAAAAAAAATAATCAGTATAAATTATAAATCACGCAGCCCCAATTAAAAACTCCAAACGAATACGCACAAAAAAAAAAAAAACAAAACAAATAAAAATTCTTGGTGGCGCTTTGAGCCCTGCAACTTTGTTTCAAAGTGCGCGCCAAAAGCAAGACACAAGAAAAGCTGCAACATGTTGATAAGCATGGAGCCGGCAAATTTTCAGTCAAAAACAAACTCTGACACACACAGTGAGAGAGAAGCGAGAGAGAGGGAGAGACCCAGAGAGAGAGAGAGAGAGCACAGCATCAGTAGCAACAGCAACAGCGCTGCTGACGTCGACATTGGAGCCGGCTGACTTTGCTCGGCTTTTGCTTTTTGTGCCCTTGCGTGGGGTATTAACCATTTGTCGCAAACTTTATAATGAAAACTTTGAAAGAAATGCGAAAAAGTTTGTATGCATGCCAACAATTTTTATACCTGTTAGAATTGGGGAATTAGTTTAGATAAAGAAAGCTATATTTTTCGGCTATATACTTGCCCAAGCTTAATGCATCACAAATGATCCCAAGCAATTTTTAAATAAGTTTGAATAGACTAAACTGTAACCTGTTTTTGATACACTCACTTTGAGCCAATTAATTAAATCCTAATCACTTTCTGCACACATGCCACACAAATACATACCTACGTAAGGGTATTTCACTTGTGGCATGCCGATTTGGCCTCAATTTTCTTGTTGGCTTTGCGTTTGCGTTTACGTTTGCTGGGCGCACAGTCGCAATTTTACAGTCGTAGTGGCCGGACGTGCGCGCGGCCTAACGAGTCAATCATATAAAAAGACCGAACTTCAAACGAGCCGTTGAAAACGATAAATTCTACTAACAACAAAAAAAAAGAAAGAAAAAAACCCACAAGTGACAAGTGCATTTCACAAGTGCAGGAGAAATTTTCGGCGCCTCTGTTGTGCCGGCGGTATCTGAGGCCATAATATCCCCACCTCCCACTTCTAACTCAAGTTTGTGTCTTATGTGGCTAATTTGCTAATTCGCGTCGAGTCAACGCTAATTGGCAAAATCTGTGCATTTGGCCAAAGTAAATATCAAGTTTCAATATTTGCTGTATGCGCGAAAATTGAGAATTATATCTGGCTCCGTTTCACCCATCTGCCAAAGGCCAATTCTCAATTACCGGCAAAAATAATAAATCGAATATAGTTTTGTGAGGTGCAAAATAAAAGAAACGACTGATTTTTGTTGACTGTCTTAAAAACAGTTGTTGACTTAAGCGATAATAGAATTGGAAATCGTAAAAGGTTAGTGCCAATAAATCAGAAATAAGCTAAGCATTTTCTAATAGCATTAGCATAGTAAAAACCGTCGCAAAATGTAATAAAATATAAAGTTGTCAAATTTAAAAATTGGCAAACATGATTTATGAAAAAAAAATCCTAGGCGACTTAAGGTGAAACTATTTATTTGATAATAAAAAGGTATATACAAAAATGAATACATGCAAAAATTAACAATTATTAAATATTAAAAATGTGATAATGATAATGTGATGTACACGTGGGGCATAACAAATACAAATTATATAAATGATTTCATTAATATTCCTACATAAAATTGATTAATATGATAATTACAACTGCTGGTTGTCTTTTTTTTATATATATATATTATTTTTGCTTATTACAATATCAAAACCATTTCTGTTAATTTTGTATCAATTCGAGTGAAAAGAGAGTTATTAATATATGTGAACCAAGATGTAAGATGATTAATACCATGCAAACTAAAGTGTAATTGTTTATTTAAAAAATAACTTCAAATTTTAATTATTAAAATAATTTTGTAACAGAAAACTTTACGCTTTTCTGGGATTTCAACTTGATTATCACACACGTTTTTCAAATTTTAGTAACCTGTTCCTACATTTTTGTCTCTGGCCATAAACTAACTATCAAGCATACTCTAATTAAGGGTGCGAACTGTTCACCCTTTGTGTGACCGTCCACTCGGCAACCACAATTACGACACCTACGCCCCTCTCAACAACCACCTATCGTCCACTCCCCCAACATTTCCCAAGCTCCATGCTTTGATCGCCTTGGCGTGGAGTTAATAAAACGGTAGATTTATGTACTAGATTAGCCGCGTCAACAAAAGCCGAGTGATGGGGAAATTGCGCATTACTCCTGAATAGCCGTGTAGTAGTAGATACTTCCTGCTTATTCCCTGTTCGCCCCTGCTGACTGAACAGACAAAAATCCGTTTATTAATGAGCTGTCAGCTGTGGGCATAAGGCGCTACAATGATGACGACACAACAGCACAGTTGAAGTTAAGTTTCAGTGGTTTCCAGTGGACTCGCTCGCATTATGCCTAAATCCTTGGCTCATCAATTAATGTCGCGGGCCACAATGGGCGCCTACAATGAGCTTGTGGCCTTGTCACAATTTTGTCAATCAAAAGCACATTTAAAGCTGCTGCGGTTGCCATTGTCAGGCCTTGCAAATGCATTTCATATTTATAAGTCGACAGAGAGTGTCCAAAGTTGGCGGCTCGCGTCGCCTCTCACAGGTAGAAAAGGAAATCGTTAAAATCGATTCAAGCGAGGCTGTTGATGATGGTAGCGGTGAGTGGTGAAGGAGAGCAGCATCAGCAGTTCCAAAACTCGAAGTGACCTTCAGTAGCATCAGCAGGAACTCCTCCGACCGCTGCTCCACTGGCTTGTGGCGTAGTTTGAAGGCATAACCAAATGGCGAACACGTCATCGCTCGGTGGCTCATAAATAAAAAAGTAGATGGAACATTTCTTGCCAGGCTCCGCGTTCAGGTGCTCGCCCCAACGCGCATATATTTATATATTTAGCAGCGCACTAAAAATACATTTGAGTGTGTTTTATATGTATATGTATATATATATATATTTTCTTTTTTTTGCGGTTTTTTTCGGCAAACAGGAAAATAAAGCCCTGCACAAATGTTGGAGGCACGCGAAGCAGCCCGGCACACTGAAAACATTCGCCGGCAAATTTTGTTTCAACTTGGGATATCACAAAAAATGCCATATGCACAAAAACAAGAAACACACACACACAAAAAAAAAGATAAATAAATAAAACGAATCTTAAATACACTTGAGTGTAATGCACACTATGGAATATATTTTTCATTCACTCATACGTTATATTATTCAGTCATTTTTAGTGAGTAAAAAGTCTTAAGCTAAACTGAAAAATATGTGGACAATTCCCACACAATTTCTGTATTTTATCGGGCAAACACTCTTTCTTGATTTTTTGCTAGCTTTTCCCTACGTACCAGTTCTAATAGACAAGCAAATTAAGAACATAAGGCAAGCAAACAATTCAAACTAGGCATTAGGCAAAGCAACAAGAAAAAGTAGTGTAACAAGAAGACAATGTGATAAACCTGTGCGAATGTGAGTGGAAATGCGAGGAGCATATAAACAAAAAAAAAAAAAAAATCAACAAGAACACCAACAACTTTTTGCAGAGAGCATAAAAATAAAAATTAAATAAGAAGTGGCATGAAAAATGCAACAGCTCCGTGAAGCAACAGGAAATGGGAGAGTAGCGATAAGCAAAGCTGAGCCCCAGGAATTTGCACATGACCAAAATTAAAGAGACGAGGGAGGAGCGAAAGGAGCCTCGCCTGAATTGGGATGCGCCTCGCACTTTAGTTGCCAGCAATTGTCGAATTTTAAATGTAACAGTCATCAGATCGTAATGTTTGTTGTCGCTTTCATTGTGGCGTCCGTGTCCAGTTCTCGGACGATGGGCACCAGGCATGTGCCGTCATGCCTCTCCATTTGTTGGCACTTGGCACGCTTTTAATGCTTTGGGCCAAGGTTAACACGAAGCAGACGTAATGTTGGGAAGAAGTAGAGCCAGTAAATAGAAGAAAATGGCGAAATACAAATTGTATAAAAAAGCGGCTCGAACCGTACAGCGGGAAGATGGAGGGTCGCTATTGAGATAAAAGCGTAAATAGAAGCGAGACACGAAATTTTCGTTTTATTTTAGATTGCCAGGCTTGAGCTGTCCTTTGAGAGAGGTGTGTGCATTAGTGTGTCAGTGTGTTCGTGTGTTCGTGTATGTGTGTTTGTATTGAAGAGTGTGAATGTGAATGTGCACGGAAATAGGCAGGTCAGCTTACTAACACGCGCACAGTAATATAGATTACATATATATAGACCTAGCAGGAACCGACTGCAAGGACAAAATTAAATCAGAAGGTCTTCGTTCTTAACAAATCCATAATATATTTTTTAAAAAAATTACGATTTTCTCTTACGTTACAATTTTGTATTGCATGACAAAACACTTCTTATGGAAGAAACAAAGTCATGACAACTCAAAATTGGAATGCCTTTATTTCTCCACATAGATGAAGCTTTCGTAAACTCATTACACAAAAGTTCAACTGGGTGTTTGCGTGTGTTGTCAATGTCCATGTTCATCCTGCTGAGTGACCGCAGCTTAAACAGACTGTTGGCAATCTCACCTGAGTCTCTCGTCCCGCCCATGTCTATGCGAAGCTGTCACCAGCATTTGCCATCTCACTCCCTCGCTGACTTTGCGTGTGTGTAATGAATTTAAAGTTTGCCTCACATACATTTTTCATCCGCTTGCAAATTGTAATGGGGGGTTTTTTCCTATTCCTTTCTGTTGTTGTTGTTTTTTGTTTTTTTTTGCTACCTGCTCAACCGCGCCCAACCGTTCAACCCACTCAGCTGAGTGGCTCATTTTCTATTAAGTGTGCCCCGTGTTTTGTCAACGTTGCGTGGGTGTCGCGTAATTTAATGCGTATATGTATGTGTATGTGTGTGTGTGAGTGAGTGAGCGAGTGTCCTTGTTGTCCTTGACAGTGCCGCACGAGACACTGCACGATTATTAATTTGCAATTGCGTTGCTAATTGCACGGCATTTCATATTTCCCTTACACCCGATGGCTACGTTTGTGCGATCTTTGTGTCATCTGCTTTTTCATCTTTCGCATAGCGTATTCAGCTAGTGTACAGTAATTGTGCAAATGTTTAGATAAAGATAAGTAGAATACGATTAGATAACCAACAGCATAAGCATGAATGTATTGCCTTTGTTGTGGCTAAAATAAAACATGTGGAAATGAGCTAATCGCCAAAGCATTTTGGAATTTTATACTTTATGCTTCCACTTGAATTGAGCCAGATAAATTTTTTGATTCTATGCTTTCATCTGATTTCTTAAATTAATCCGTTTAGTAAACAAGAATTTATGAATAGAACAAACTATGCATATACAATATCGGATAGAGGCATTAAACAATGGAAATTTATTTGCATAAGCAAAACAAAAACTTTTATTTAATTGAACCCATTCAAACAATATTGACGTATTCCACTACAATTTCGAATATTGTGAATAAATTTAATAGCGTAAAACAATATTTATTCTGCATATAGTAGGAAATCAACGAATGATATGTTAAATGATGCCAGATTTTATAGCTCAAATAACATGTGCGTTGCATAATTAACACTCCTTAATATTCCTTTACAATTACCTCTCGCTTTGTGTTGCTTTGTGCAATTGATGTGCCTCATATTGCAGTAAATCACTTCAAATAATGTCATACAAATTAATTTCAAACAAAGTGCTTGTCGTTAAGAGAATGAAACACGAAAAATGAGACGAGCTTCCATTTGCAACAGCTGCTGGGAATCGTTTGATGCGTCAAAATTGAACACCGCTGCTGGCGCTTGATGCATTGCAAATTGTTAACATTAAGGCTGACATTAATATATATGCGAATCGGCGATACGGATGCAGAGGTTTGTTTATGTTCGATTGCGTTTGATTGAGTGGCCGGTGAGACGTGACGCAAAACGAAACAACAACTAAACAAATCACAACGAAAGTGATGCGTTTTTTATAAATAGCTGAATTTTAATCGATTCCCTTAGCATTTGATGCGATTTGATAAGCGTGAACCGTCAGCTAAAGCATTTCCTGAATGCTTAGCCGACAAGTCACTTCGTCAGTTCGTCAGTTCGTCGGCATGACCTTGACCTCTTGTGCCTGCTTCGCCTGCGACCCACGCGCTATTCAAATAAATCAAATTGAAACAGAAGCAACAAAAGCCGAAGCCAGTGGACCAACTGTTTCCACTCCATACACAGTTTAAGGTCGAAAGGTTAGATTAAAGACAAGAAAAATATATGGCAGTTTTTTAATTAAGCTTTTTAGTTCGCGATCTTTTTTGTTTCTTGCCAACTGCACATTGTTGAACTTGACTTTGGTTGCA